AAGTAGGGAGCGAGCTGGTATCTGAGTCCTCCGGATCTGCACCTGATTTGGCCTTGGCTTTGACCTTGGGTCGGGACCTTGAGCGTGCTGTGGCTTTCGCGTTTCCTCTCCGGCTGGCCTCCTTCGGCCCCATGATCGCCAGCTACGTGCACTCTTTTGAGCCGTAGGCTGACTGGCGAGTGCTGGGTGGAAGCTCTGCAACAGCGAAACAGGCTGAGGGCTAAGGCTGCAAGCAGCTTCACTCTGAGCATCGGACCGATGGGCTGAGGAGGGCCACAGGGCCAGAGCTAGGAGGATCAAGGCAGCTACAAGGGGCTTCGGTAGACCCCTGTGCAGCAGTGTTCCATCATGCAGCCTACAGCTGTGTTTTGGTTGCAAGGTCCCGTGCCTTCTAGTGGAGCCGGTATGTTGGATGTCCAGGCCTTTACCGTTTTTAGAATGCATCTCTCTCACAAGGGCGGAGCCAAGGAGCTTAGCAGCAGCAGCAGCAGCAGTAGCAGTAGCAATAGCAGGATCGGGAGCCGGAGCTGGAGTGGCAGCTGCAGCGGCATTATCAGCAGCACTAGCGCTGCAATATGGTACTTACTAGCTCTAGCCCTGGCATGAGCACGAGCACGAGCAAGAGTCAGGAACAGTGGGAGTAGGAGTAGCAGTAGGGAGCAGGAGCAGTGGGAGTAATAGGTGTAGTACCTGTTGTTGCTACTGCTGGTGGTGTTGGTGGTGGTGGTAGTGGAGCTGCTGCTGCTTGCTGTTGGTTGTGGCGATGATGTTTTGTGGCAGCTCCGTGCAGAAATGCTTGCATTGGACAGTGCGAGCACATGTATTGTCAACATTATTATTGCTATTGCTACTAGTATTGTTACTGTTAATATGATTCGGAAAATTTCCGTCATAATGACTGTTGCTCTGGGTCGTCGTTGTCGTCGCCTTCATCGTCGTGGTCGACTGCTGTAGCAGCAGTGATGGCAGTGGCAACAGCAGTTGCAGAAGCTGTAGCAGTCGCAGTGTCAGGATTGGTTTTCGTGGTAGTCGTAGCAGCAGCAGGAGGAGGAGGAGCGTTGCAGTGGCAGCAGAAGCAGAGCAGGAGAAGGGCCAGAGGAGCAGGAGCAGGAGCGGGAGCGGGAGTGTTTGGAGAAGTAGCAGTAGTAGTAGTAGTAGTAGTAGTAGTAGTAGTAGTAGTAGCAGTAGCAGTAGCAGTAGCAGCAGCAGCAGCAACAGCAGCAGCAGCCGCCACCGCCGGTACGGCACCACAAGTACGTTGAGTATGTAAAGTCAACATGCCGATATTATGGGAAGTCTTTGCTGCCATTCTTGGCTCCAGCAGCTCAGACTTGCCGCATTTCCCAGGATGGCAGGGAACTAGTGAAGTTGAAAGTGGTCCGGGGCATGGGTGCCAGTTCGCAGTCCCTGTGCTGCGCCAGGTCCTTTGCTTTACAGGGTCTTATGCTCACACCCAAGAATGGTCGCCCTGTTTCTGCTACCCTGCACGGTTTGTGCATAATTATCTTTGCAAGCTGCCAGTCGATCCAAACGCAACACACGCTGTGGCTTGCAATCGCAAGAATCCAGAAAGGTGCATAACCAGTGACGCTCGCTCAGGTGCTGCGTGCCATGCTGCCCACGAGCAGGTTGCCTTAGCTCTTGGACATGCGGTGCATTACACATTGGACGCACCCCTCAGGAGTTGTTGACGGGCCAAAGCAGTGGGTCCCACTGGCACGGATTGCATCTTGGGCAAGGAAGCCCTCTCAGTCCCAAACCCTTAAGCCCTAAAGCCCTAAAGTCCTAAGCCCAAAACCCTAATCACTAAACCCTAAACGCCCCAAAGCTCTAAATCCTAAACCCTAGACCCTAAACCCTAATGCCCTAAAGCTCTAAATCCTAAACCCTAGACCCTAAACCCTACCTCAAACCCTAATGCCCTAAAGCTCTAAATCCTAAACCCTAAAGCCCTAAAGCCCTAAAGCCCGAATGCCCTAATGCCCTAAAGCCCTAAATCCTAAACCCTAAACCCTAAACCCCAAAGGCCTAAAGCCCGAAACCCTGTCGGCCTGAAAGGATTGAAAGTTCGACTTCTGCCAGGATGGCCCGGCTTCCTTCCCAGGCCGGGTGCTTGTCCTCCGGAGTCATATGGGGGTTTCCGAAAATAGGGGACCCCAATATCATACCCTAAATAGTAGGATCCTTATTCTAAGGACCCCAAAATAAGGTACCCCTAATTTTCCGAAACTCCCATATCGGGGCCTTAGTCGTTAGAAGAGGGTTCCTTTAAAGGGATACTTAAAGGGTTCTATAAGGGATCTATGATAAGGTTCTATATTAGGGGCCTTTATTAATTAGAATAGGGTTTGGGGTATAGTATACTTTAATTATAATAAGGAGCCCCCCCCAGAAAAAACTCTATTCTCATTATACAGGCCCCTACATTATGGCATTGTGTTTCCGAGTGCTTCAGACTTTTCCCAAGCAGGCTCGCATACCATCTCGCAGGCCGTGAGGTTTATGATAGGACACATCTTTTACACAACGTACTGACATGCAGCGTCCTTTTACAATCTCCTGTGCATTTGCTTTACTTCATGGGTAGTTCTCTAAATCAGGGTCCCTTTTTAGGTCCCCAATATAGTACGACACCCTTATAAAAAGGATCCTAAAAGGGACCCCTAATTTAGAGAACCCCTATAACCCCTAAACCCTAACCCCTAAACCCTAAACCCAAACCCCTAAACAATAAACCCTAACCCCTAAACCCTAAACCCCAAACTACCCTCATGCAGTTTGCCTGAGTGGTGCCCTCAGGGCAAGAAAGTGGCAGCAGCTGCCGCACGGGGAGCCGGCCCGGTCTCCAAACTACAGCGGGTGAAGGTCCGAGGGGTCATGGCAGTAGTAAGGGTTTAGGGTTTAGGGTTTAGGGGGTTCATAATAAAAAATAGTCGTGATAGTGACATTCACAAGAATAATAGTTATAGCGGTTCATAGCAGTAGTAATGCTAAGATTCATAGTAAGGGTAGTTGTCAAAATTATGGTCCCTTTTGGGGTACCCTAAATAATAGGTGCCGTATTATAATAAGGACCCAAAAAGGGACCATAATTTTGACAAACACCCATAAAGATAACAGTAGTCGTAATAGTAATATTCACATGAATAATAGTTGTAGTGAGATGATAATGATAATGATGATCATACTGTCAATGATAGTGATCATCATGATGATACGAGTATTAACAATGACAGTTATCGTGCTCGTCATCAAAATGATCACAGCAAGAATGATGATAATAGCAACAACAATACTAATATTACTAATAATGAGCTTTTCTTATCATAACAATAACAATCATCATCATCTCGGTGTTCCACAGATCTGCATTGAAAGGTGAGCAAAGCAGCCGCTCTTGTAGCACCGGCGTGCCCGCCAGGCCTGCTACTGGTTCGGCTGCCTTTTTACCGTATGCGATTCTCTGTTAGGAATGCTTGCAAAGTCGCGTGAGGCTGTGCTGTGGTGTCAGCGGATCTTCTTCATCATCTTCAGCAAGAGGCCTCACGAAGCTCCAATGTGAACAATATGCAAAGACAGTCAGTTTGCATGCGGTGCAGGTTGGAACAAAGGCAACAGCGCCGGTACGCCCCAGTGACCGCCATCGTCGCTGTTGCTGCGCAACCGAGACGCTCCTTCGAAACCTATCCCCTGCGCAGCATGCGCCGAAATACGAAGCTCGCCACGAGCTGAATAGCCGGCCTGCGCCGTCCTCGGAAGGAAGTCTCTTCTTTAGGCTTCGTGGGGTTCCCAATTCTGCTCCAGGAGCCCAGCAAGGCACAAGCTCGTCCAAAGCGCCAGAAGGACCCAGGCACGCACTAGGAGTCTTCGCAGCCACCCTGAGCTCCCTCCGGTGTCCAGGCAGCCAAGAGGTCCTGCCCTTGAAAGCCGCAGCCGTCCTCAATGATGAGGTAATCACTCCGGATCGGGGGGACCCTTAGTGGGATGCTCCAAAATGCTGATCAACTGCTCAGAGAGAGGTTCCACCACCACCGGGCGCCCGCCATGCCGGTGTTGGCCATGGCCTTGGCAGGTGGCAAATTCATCTGCCATCTTTATCGAGAGTGTTCGCTGCATGACTTCGTTTACATTGTAATTTGTACAGCCAAGAGTAGTCGTAGAGCCCGTAGCCGTAGCCGTAGCAGCAGCAGTAGCAGTAGCAGGAGGAGGAGGAGGAAGTGGGTAGGAGTAGGAGTAGGAGTAGGAGTAGGAGTAGGAGTAGGAGTAGGAGTAGGAGTAGGAGTAGGAGTAGGAGTAGGAGTAGTAGGAGGAGGAGGAGGAGGAGGAGTAGTAGTAGCAGCAGGGGGCAGGGGCAGGAACAGGAGCAGCATGAGCAGCAGCACCCAGCAGCAGCAGCCGCCACCCCCGCCGGTCGTCACAGTCGTCGAAGTCGTCGTAGTTGTCGTCGTCGTGACGGTGGTAGTGGTGGTGGTGGTGGTGGTGGTGGTGGTGGTGGGGGTGGGGGTGGTGGTGCTGGTGGTGGTGGTGGTCGTGGTGGTGGCAGTGGCAGTGGCAGTGGCAGTGGCAGGGGCAGTGAAGGCGCAGTGATAGCGGCAGTGCTAGTGGTAGTGGCACTAAAAACAGCACGACGGCAACTAGTGCTACTTCGACAACGCTTGCTACTGCTGCCGGTACCGCCCCTGCTGCTGCTGCTGCAACTGCTACTGCTGCTACTTGAAACTACCACTACTGCTGCCCCAGAAACAAGTCGACGAAGAATGCCTGCACGACTTGACAACTGTCGACCTGGTACGACAACTCGCGGAAGCCACGGTGAGTGGTACCTTCGTGGCTCGCTTGCCCGACCATGGTGGGTTTGTCGTTGTGTGGCTGCTTCAGCTGCCCTAGGCACTGTGCAGGCTGTGGAGGAGGCAACGTGATCAGTGGACAAACTAATTCTGTTTTTTGATAGATTGCTACTGAATGACTGGACAGGGCACGCAGACGTCCTTTGAGGAGAACAAGGCTCCTGAGACGACTGCATCCTTGTCTGTAGTGTTGGAAGCAGCACTTGTCTGCTTCTTAGGCGGGCGCACCACCTCCCCGACCGCAAGCTGTGCCACAAGCTGGACCGCTGCCCACTTCGGCTCGTCGGGTGCTCATTGCACGGTGTAAAAACTGAAAGTCGGCGGGATTCTTGCACAGTGGCTCAGGAGAGGGCCTCGAGATGCGACCGACCTTGAATGTAAACAGACACCGTGTGGACGGCGTGACTGAGGCAGTGCGCAGTGAATGCAGATGAATTCTGACTGTTCTCTCTTCTTTCGCTCATCGCGTAGAGGCCACTCCCTTGCAGCATGATGGTATGCTGGCGCCTCGCCAGGCAGTCTTGTTGGAATTTTGTGCGGAAGCCGCAGACTTCGCACCAGGGGTGAAATCTGACCGTAGAATTGCAAGGCGGCGGTGGCCGCACCGGCAGCAGTAGCTCAGCCTCAGCCAGTGGAGTTGCACCCTCATGTTTTGCAGCGAGATTTCTTGTGATCCGGGCTCAAAGAGTATGCTCTGCCTGCAACAGGACTTCGCAAAACTATGGACGGTGCGATCCTTTCCACTTGGACAGGCGAGGAGTCACAGCGCGATCCTGATGAATAGAACAGTCTGTTTACTTCAGGATTACCGCCGAGAAAGAACGTGATCGAAAGAGGCCCGAAGTCAGACTACTATTGTTAGTATTATCTCACTGCTATTATTCTTATTACTGATATTACTACTATTGTTCTGATTCCAGAAGTCAGATTACTATTGTTGCTATTATTTCACTGCTATTATTCTTATTACTGATCTTACTACTATTGTTCTGATTCCAGAAGTCAGATGACTATTGTTGCTATTAGATCACTGCTATGATTCTTATTACTGATCTTACTCATATGGGGGGTTCCGAAAGTAGGGGACCCTAATATAGTACCCTAAATAGTAGGATCCTTATATTATAAGGACCCCAGAATAAGGTACCTTATTTTCGGAAACTCCCATATTCTTCTGATTTCTTCTGAGTATGAACCCATCGGCTCCCTCGGCTCACGGCCTGCGACTGCAGGGTCCAGGCCCAGATGCTCGCGGAGCAGATTCAGGAGCCGGAGCCCCTAAACCCTAAACCCTAAACCCTAAACCCTAAATCCTAAACCCTAAACCCTAAACCCTAAATCCTAAACCCTAAGCCCTAACCCTAAACCCTAAACCCTAAAGCTCCCCAGGTCTCTTCTGCACCGCCGCGGCTCGTGACATCTCTGGGTAGATCTCTGAATTGGGGGTCCCTTTAAGGGTCCTGTTTAGAAGGGTGCCGTACTATTTTGGGGACCTAAGAAAAGGGATCCTAGTTTAGAGAACTACTACCCATGTAAACTCTTTTACCAACTCCTTGGGGCTGTCCTTTCCGCGCCTTCTGCTTTTTCCTCATTGCTGAGACTTGCCCGAATTGCTCGGCCAGTTCGGCCCAGCAGCCGCGGCGTGCTAGGTTGCATCTTACTTTGCCATGATTGCTCGGCGAGAGACACGGCACTGTCCCCCACGAAAAGCGAGGCTGAGCCGGTAATCATATAGACATATGGCATATGGCCTCGTACCATCTCGTAGCTTGTAACTTTGTGGATGGCGCCGACGCTTTGCCATGGATGGAAACTGCTGGGACTTCAAGGCCCGCGACCGCCGCAGCTCCTCATGTGTCAAGTGCGGCTCTGAAGGAAGGCCCCGTGCGCTGCACCGACTGCGGTCCGAGACCCGCTGCCTGCAGCACGTTCTGCACTCATCGCAGTGCTTGTCAAGGTCGAGCCTGGCCAGCCCGCAGCAAGGGCGTATCTCTCAGCATGGCGCCCGAGTGCTTTTGGAGCCGGGCGGAGACTGGAATCTGCCTTGTCCGGGATGCACCGGCACTTTCACTGGTGTAAATTACCCAGAGGGTGCTACTCGATTTCTCAGTTCGAGGTTTTTCAGGCATCAGAAGCACAGGAGGGACCAGCTCATTCCTCTCTTTCCACAGTTTCAGTCTTGATTCGCTTGCCCGCCCCGTGCTTCAAGACGCTTTTGACCTCCGGTCTGCCGCAGGCTGTTTGGTTCAGTTGGTGTAATTTAGGGAGCTGTGGAGGCAACCAAGGCCCTGAGGTGCCCCTGGGCCGCAGCGAGACTCCAGCGCCTTGCAAGTTGAGCAGCCAAGCTTCTAGAAAATTTAGAGCGGCTTCCTACACTAACCTGTATAGTAGCCCTTAAAGCAATCTTGGAGTAACCACTATCTGCTGAGTTGGCTTCGAGGAAAACAGCCTCGATCCACGCTCCACTTGCAGTGAGGAGGCCAGTTCTTCGGATTGCGCAAAGGCCTTCAGACGAATTAATTCTTCTGTACAGCCCAGGACAGCTGACTAAGCACCATGGATGATGCAGTTTTCGTGCGACTCGGCATGCTCCGGGTGTTTGGTGACCACGCCGCTCAAGCGCGACGTGCTCAGGAGTCTCAAGATGCCTTCTGCACATGCTGAGGTTCGACACTGAAAGCGAGCAAGCGACGAACTTTGCCATTGCAGTCGCTTCCTCAGGGAATCGTAGACGAATCCACGGATCTACCATGCCCATCATGAGGTGTGGAAGTCGCTGCTACTTAGCTGACACAGACAGAGATCTTGTTCCTTGCATCGTTCATGACAGTCTTGATCTCTTGCCTGTCAGCTCAGGAAAGCGTGGCTAGGTGTCTCTTTCAGGGAACCACAACCGGGCACAAAGCAGTTCGAGGTGAAGGCCAGGGTGTGAGTCTTCACGGTGGAGGTTTCAGAAAATAAAGGACCTCACATAGTAGGATCCCTACTGTAAAGGCCCCTACAAAGGTAGCCCAAAGGTACTCCCAATTTTCTGAAGCCTCCACATCTCGCTGTCATTTGTGGACCTCCTGCTTTGGGACGTGCTGGAGAGCTCAGGCTCCGAACACAGTCATCATCATAACACCCAATATCTTCAAGAACGACGTCGTCAGGGAAGCGCCCGAATCTGAGATCTGTCTGCTGGCATTCGCATGCTTCTTAGCTCTAGCCAGCAAGATACTGGAGCATGCAGCAGACGACAGGTATGAGGCAGCAGCCACGACGAAGAAAAATGCTTCGTGGCCGCATAGAAACTTCCCGCAACCCCCTGCAAGCGTGAGGGTGCCGTTTTGTTTTGCAGGTGGTCTTTCTTCACCACATAGCGTCTGGCTGCAACCTCAACGAGGAGGCGCGTAATGTGGCACTCACGCATCTCTGTAGGTAGCAGGTCACAGTTCACGAGTCAGAGACTATAGAACTGTTAATGATTATTGATATAAGTTATGGAACATAGTATAGAGAGAAAACACCCACCAAAAGCTGTGTTTTTATTTCTACAAAGGTAGATATAGGTAGATAGATAGATAGATAGATAGATATGTAGACCGATAGATAGAGACGTCAGCGCGGCACCTGTCAGGCTGAGCAGGCGCCCGAGGAGTTGAAGAAGTCCGTGGACAAGATTTTCAAAGACAAGAGATATGTGATCTATACCGAGGAGTCCCTGAAGGGAAGCTCTAGGGTTACCCTAGGGGTTGCCAATAAGGGTTACTCGGGGAGGGGGGGGTTGATGCGAGCATCAAGCCCACGAGTTTTTTTGCAAGAGCGCAGGGAAAGCATTGCGAGGATCTCAGCGAAGAGTGCAATGACATGCTCATGGAGAAACTGAATCTGCGAAATGCAGACGAGATGAAGGCCGCTCGGGATCTATGCAGGAGCCTGAATGTTTACGAGTACTATTGCTTAGGGTTCCCTAATAGGTTACACTTCCAGCTGGACGTTTGGATGTTTCTGCTGAGAGCCCGGACACATCTGCGTCCACAGTCTGGCAGATGTAGAGCCGTGGCATACAGCTCGAACTCGGCAGAGTGCGGTGTTTCAGCGCCAAGCTTGGTGGTTGAGACCTAGAACCTCATGAAACTTGCTGTCTACAACTCAGAGCCGGACCTGGAAAGGCACCATGCTTGAAGGAACCAACTCTTCAGACTTTTCGGCGCAAGGAGTCAGAAACAGCCAACGGCCGAAAGGCTGCACACCATCCTTAACGTATCATTTCCAGTCTGAATCTTTCCACCACTTCTCTTCTGCAAACTGTCATTAAGAAGCCAGTGTGCCAGTGTAGCCAATATTTGCTTGGTTTGTGATTACATCTCTTTGCCCTCATGCAGGCTGCCTACGAAAAGCGCGCCTTTCGCCGCAACATTGCGGCTTGGACCGGCAGTTTTGACCGTGCGTGACGGCAGATTTCATGAGGCTCGGCTTCACGAGCATGGCCGCGGATTCGCAAACACAGCCGAGGATATCATGAAGTACAGCGCCAAAGTTGCCAAGGTTCGTGGATTGCAAATTCGTTCATATCTGGCAGACATGGCATGTTGGCATACGTGCCCGTTCCACTGGCCCACACGAGGCACGCACACAAGCGGGAGTCAAGCGAAAGTATGACCTCTGCATCACAGCAGCCAATGTTGAGCATAGCCCCGATGGCATGCCCGTGGCCACTAAGTTGCAACTGAGTGAAATTCAGGCGCGGCAAGGGGGACGGAATTAAGCTGAGGTTGACCGCTTGTTCACGACAATGTCAAAGCTGGCACCGGCGCTCACCATCGGCCGAAACTACGGTGACAAGGCTGGAAGCCTCCAAGCCTTTCAATTTACCCACCTGTGCTGTGACGATCAGGTTTCCAATGCCGATGTGAGACATTCCTTCAACATTGTCGTTGTCCTGACCAAGGAATCCCCCCTGCATCAATCCGTACCTGCAACTTGAAGCTCGCGCACGCTCGCAGGACGCTCTCACCTGCCCAGACTTGATGGGCGAGCTCAAGTCTGCTCTGGAAGCTGAAGCGAGCATCCTCATAGCCGGGACCTTTGCTTCAGAGCCTCAAGGTTTGCTTCGATCGAGGTGACCCTAAGCCACACCCACACCCGAGACCCCCAAACCCTTCCGAAGAAAATGGTCTGGGGCCCCCAAGGTCCACGATCTCTTGAGTTGTCCAGACCTCAAGGCCGAGATCGAGAAATGCGAGGACTGTACTGAAATAAACACAGAGTCTAATCCAGTCTATTAAAATCTACTGCGCTGCACAGTACTGTACTGTACTGTAGTGTACTGAAATGTACTGTAATGTAGTGCAAAGTAGAGTAACGTATTGTATAATATCTTTATCGAGACCGTGGGTGGATTAAGCATGCCGTGAGTACCCTATACGGCTTAGGGCTAGGGTTCTTTTCTTGCATTCTCCTGACTATGGGTAGGGAATGAAGGGTTACATACCCGTTGTCACCTTTTCAGGACAAGGTGGTCGCATCAAGCTTGATGCGCTCTGCGAGATTCGTCTACATGTCAGAGGCCGTTTTTGCGTGTGTGTGTGTGTGTGTGTGTGTGTGTGTGTGCGCCTACATGCTCTTGAATTCGTGCCACAAGGACCCAGCGAGAGGTCATTATTGAGAAAGGCAAGTACATTGCATGTGATGTAGGTCGTCACCAGCGTCGTGCTTGGAATCTTGTCGCCCGGCACGGCCCGGTCCTCGCAGAGCCCAAATGCTCGGCTGCTGCAGTGCTGATTGGCAGTACCACTGAAGCTTCCGTCGGCTGCAGATCAAGACGGACGATGCAAAGTCCCCGCGAACAAAGCAGGCATTGTCCTCCGGAGGTGCGATCTTTGAACATCCAGACATTGCGACGTCGGCTTTCTGTTCGTCGCTCCGGCAGGTGGGAAGCAATTCCGGCTGGAGTACAAGAACTGCTTCGCCCTGGACCTGGCCAAAGATGGTACGGGACAGGTTTACAACACCAAGCCACCCGACTGTACAAGTCCTGCTCTGCAGAAATGTTTCTTCACCGGGGGGAGGGGGAATCTGACATGAATGCGCAGTCATGTTCTGCAAGGTTCAGCGACAAGAAAAAAGACTTGCCCGGCGACATCGACTCGGCCATCAAAGCCCTGTTCGAGTTGTATGATCCGGCCAAGAAGGGCCGCTTGCCAAAGTTGACGGATCTCCACTTCTGACCAGTCTTTACCTCATTCCTCAGCCCTAAACCCTGAACCCTAAACAGCCTGAACAACGGGGTTCAACAAAAACATCGGAACCCTAAACCCTAAACCCTATCTCATCCCAAAGGAAGCATTGGCTGGCCGCAGTTTGCGGAAGTCGATCGCATCGTGACGGAATGCTTGGGTGGCCAGTACGAGGAGATGATCTCTCGCAGAGCCTTCTCAATGATGAACTATCCAGGCCCTAGTGTGCATACGCACATGTGTGTATGTATGTATGTATGTATGTATGTATGTATGTATGTATGTATATATATATATATACATGTCTATATTTTTATACACATCATATATATATATATATGTGTATATATATATATGTGTATGTATATGGAAATCTGTAAATACAGTACTATATGGAGAACTGCATGTTTCAGTACTTTAATGTACTAACACCGTGTACACAGTGTACACACATGGAGAGGGAGATGTAGATTGAGTATCTACTTGGGCAAGAGCCCGATGTTCTTCGGACGTGGCAGGGCTCACCCTGGAGTCGGAGATCTCCTTCACGACCTTCCACAACTACCATGCAGGGGGCCTAGACAGGGTTTAGGGTTGTCATAATGATTCGCTCTGAGCTTTTTCTGCGAGGCCTTCGTTGCGAAGCAGATGGGTGCGTTGGAAGGCACCTGGCCCTGCAGATGTGCCAGATCAAGCTTCAACATGCCTGCCCTGCAGGTGACAGAGATTCCAGCATGCACTACAAGTACATTGTGGACAAGGTGGGCTTTGGGATGCTCTTTCAGCCCAAAGAACCCAATACTCCTCAATTAAGGAATATACCTTAAACCAGAATAATTATTAAGGCCCCGTACAATTTAAGGCATACTCCTTAATTAAGGGGCTTTGGGATGCTCCTTCAGTCGTGGCAGGGCTTGCGGCGTGTAGCTGGTTCAGCGAGTACATGATTCATGGGCCAGGTAAAGAACTCCAAAAAGGGCAAGCGCTTCTTGAAGCTCTTCGACCTGTGCCCCAGGGCCATCTGTTTGCTGCGACGGTTCCCATCCCTTCCGTTTGGTCAGGGGTTCGATCAGTAGGAGGCTTGCACCATCCGATGCTGCATAGTCGCAAGCCTTCAACTTTGGCCCTTGAAGACTTGCCAAGAACGTCTGGGGATGTGTAGCCTTGCTGCTGGATCTTGTGCAAATCCGGCTGCTGGTACCGGCATTAACTACACAGCGATTGGCAGCAGTTTTTCTGGGCACAGGTACATCGTCCATGATGAAAGCAAAGAGTCCATTGCCTTCGCCAAAGCGCTCAAGGTGTCCATCAAAGATCACACGCTTCGTGTCTCCATCTAGCTGTGGATGTGTTGGAGCGTGTTTTGTTTGATGCAAAGCCTGCGGGTTGGCTGCTTGGGTAACAAATAATCAGATTTCTGTCAGCATGATTGCTCGAAATATGTGCTGCTGTAGTGGCACATTTCATCCGAGCACGGTCGGCTTGCTGGTCTCAAACATGTGCATCTGCTAAGGCCCAATGTTCGCACTGCCGTCTGCAACGAGAAGGTTCCAGGAAAGGAGGATATGCCACCTGGCTGGAAAAAGGAACAGCATGAAAAGCAATGACAGAAGCAACAACACTCGCAAGAAGAACATTATCACTAGCAGCCAGCATACAACAGCAGTCAAAGTCACAGCCGTTATGATAGGGGGTTTCCTCCCCGTCCTGGTCCTCGTTCTCGTCCTCCTCACCAACAACGGCAGTCCTGCGAAGTAGACTGACTAGTGGCAATACTTTCCAAAAAAAGAGGGAACCTCATGTTGGGGTCCTTATCATAAGCATCCTACTATTTAGGGTACTATATTGGGGTCCCCTTTCGGAAACCCCCCATATTCATCATGTTTCTGCGTCTTTGCAGCCCTCAGTCTGCACTCGGTGTCCGGCTGCAGCTTAGGCAGCGCACGCAGATTGCCGCGCAAAGTCTGAACGTTCTCATTCTGCTCCAGGAAGACTGCCTACTAAAGGACTGGCTGAGCTTGCAGCGAGCCAACCACCGACTTAGCGCATCCGCGTCCGCACCGAAAAGGAGGAAGTGGCCAAAGATGTCGTTGCTGGAGCAAACGAGGCTGCACAGCAAGAGGCTCCAGCTTCCTCACGAGTGAAGCTTCACATGCCCACAGGGCGCCCAAATCCTGGTGTTGGTGAACATGGAGAACAGCCCGATCCTGGAGAAGGCGCTTCAATACCGAACTCTTGAGCACCGCACTCGCAGAAATGGTGCGTCTCAGACATTTTCAGGAAAGAAAGAAGGCGACTCCAGAGGTCCAGACGGCCATGTCAAGGCCTCCCGTGGTGGAGTACTGGAAGGGCAGCGACCAGGAGGGGCCTTTCTCATCCGAGCGCAGTGAAGTGATAGAGGTAAGAAGCTCTGCAGCGCAGGCCTGCTGCGTCAAGCTTCTAGACCTGATGTCCTTTCCCATCGATGCGAACGCGAAGCGGCCACTGCCGAACAAGACTCTCAGAGGAAATGTGTCAAACTTGTTCTGGTGGGCCTTAGGTCCCACTCAGGCCATCTCCAAACAGTAAGCTGCCGTTCCCCTCTGTGCAGAAGTCAGGAAAGCGACCTTCCGGCAGAAAGAAAATCCGGTGGTGCTTTTCCTGTACCAGCAGTGCGAGGAGGCGCCTCCGCCTTTTGCAACAAACGAGTTGTAGGAATTGTGAGGTACCCGTTGGAGTTTTTAGTTATGGCTTAAGGGGGTTAAAGTGGAAGACTACCATAGTCAGGAGGAGGCCCAACAGGGATTCCTCCTTTCAACATCCCCCTGCCTGTGTGCGGCCTTGCAAGTCAGCCCTCTGCAGGATGCGGTCGCTTCTCAGGCCATGACCGCCTTAGCAAACTTGGTCAGTCCAATCAGCCACTGTGCGAAAAAAGAGCCAAGGGCTCCAACTTGTGGTTCCCGACACATGCTGTAGACGGAGACGCCGAGTTTCTTTGCGATCATCCGAGGCAAAAGTGGTGACTTGACCAGGCCAGCACCTCACACAAAGTTGCTTCCTGAGCTTTGGAGAACTAGTGCTCAGGGCCGAGTTTCTGCGAGATGGAGGCTGCGATGTTCTCCAGGAGCGTTTCTCCTCGCAGCTCGGCTGCGTAGCGAAAGGCCGCAACATGCTCGTCACACCCTGGACTCGAAGTGGCAAAGCGAGACAGGTTCCTCTCAGTCGCCGCTGTCGCAGAACCTGCTGCACGATGTGTGGCGAACTTGGCAATGTACCCGCCTTGTGCCCGAAGGACCCTTTTAAGACCATGTCACATGTCCAATTTGCAACGGTCGCGACGATGCTTGCATCCCGTGTTAAACTCGCCGTGCAGGATGGCCGAACTGGGTACCGTCAAGACCCTCATCGAAGCAATGCAGGCCCATGTGGACTCGCCCAACCTGCAGGCTGGCGGGGTGGCGTCGCCTGAAGTAGCACATGTCTCCTTTTTCGCCAGAACTTGCTATGGGTCAGGGCGATGCATGCTGCGCGATTGTCAACATTGCCCAAGATGACGTTGGCAAGAAGAAAGTCAACGAGCTAGGCGCTTTCTCGTGGGGTTCGGCTGTGTTGGCATTATCGGGCGAGCTTCTTTTGCGTGGTTGTTTGGATCTAGAACTGAATCCGTGAGGATGGGAGCGCCCAGATTGCCTGCCCTCTTGCAACGCTTGCTGCTTGTCCAGGTGGTTTCCAGCAAATGCTGCAATCGCAGAAGAGGTTTGAGTACAATGCTGATTTCTGGGAGATGCGCTGGGGCATGAAGGAGCTTGCGGAAGGGGACACTGTCATGGAATCTTTTCCTCACCTTAGCAAGATGTTTGTCAGAGTGTTCTGCAGTGAACAGAATGGAACAAAAGGTGGTGAAGAACCAAGCTCTTGGCTAGTCATGTTTGGAGATCACTCGCAAGTCTGTTCACTTAGGTCAATTACCACGGCAAGGGACGCTGGGTCACAGGAACCATCACGCGAGTCAACAAGGGCAACGGCGCTTATGATGTTGATTACATGCACGGTGGCAACGACCGCAAGGTGCCCACGAACTTGGTCCGACCCAAAGACAAGTCAGCACTCTGGCTGAACGGGCTAAGCAAGGTAGTAATTTGCAATCCCCAGCCCCAAGCATGGACTGTAAACGGGATCCTAGTAGATGCATCCATCGTTAGCGTCTAGATTCTTGTGCTTGGCACATGATGCCACGCGTGCTGCTTCTCCTTTTCTTTCCTCAGTCGTTCAGCTCGTTTCTTGGCATTATTTATGTCATATTGTCTACTGCTCTTTTATTCTAGGCCAAAATGAATAGAGCAGAGTGGATTCTTTCATTAGTCTACATGGCCGTACACTATATCAGCATAGACTAGACTCTATTTCACGACATGGTATTACTGTTTCAAGTCGTATTCGGCTCGATTGGGCTAGTTTGGGCTAGATTAAATTCTGTTTTGTTATATTAAAGCAGATCGATCAGCATAGTATTATATATCATATGGCAAAGTATTATACTATATTTTACGGCGAGTATAGCAGGATATAACAAGCACCGGCCTTATTGTATATCATACTACATCATATTTTGTTATACTATACGGGTAGTGTAACAGGATAAAGCCGGTACTGGTCTGCTCTGTTCTCCTCCATTCTATCGGTTACTATAGATCCCTGAGGGTTCCTTGATAGTGTTGTCTTGAAAAATCAGAATAGCAGAGCATGGCATAGCAGAGTACAGCATAGCATAGCATACCGTATGGTCTAGTATACTGTATGGCACCGAGCTGGACGAAAGACGAACTGTGTCGAATTACGTTGAGAACACATCCTGCTCACTACAGCAGCAGCTGCGCATGATATCAGATCCGAAAGAAGGCCAGAGCATAAGCAGCCCGTCACAATTTGGACCGAGCTGCCAAAGCCAACCTGGTTGACGTACTTCCCAGCCTGGACAGTGCAGCGACAAGCAACAGCATCGAACATGTGCCATTGTGTAACCTCGCTGATGCCAGAGTAACAGAACAGAGCCATGCTAGACCCCTTGCTGATCGGCTGTTCGAATGGCGACATTTGCGGATGTTCTGTCAGGAATGTGAGAGCCAGCTTGTAGTTCGGCTTCTTCACTATGTTTTGTATTTCGGAGCAGTCGTTCAGATTGTCTGCAGGATTGGTTCTGGCTTGAGCTGTGCGGTCTCTCTCGTTTCAGCCTCGGGAGCTCGAGCATCGCTACTGTAAGGACATGATCGACGAGTTCGTAGCCGTTTGGCAGTGGAAGCCGGAGGGCAAGCTGACGGAAGACGAGCTTACTCTGAAGGCCGACGGCTTCCTCTTCCTGAAACGAGAAGGCCAGGCTGCTGCGGGAACCTGGAACGTTGCGGAGCCCAAGGGCGGAGGCCGGAACTTGGTGAAGATCAAGCTCTCCGTGCCTGGGCTTTCGTCAAGGAAGGAGTTGAGTTTAACCTGCCATAAAAAGAAGACGATATTATCTACCGTAGATCCCTATCATGATACCATGATGGCACCTTTAAGATTCTTTTATTAAGTCCTCAAAAAATGGACCCAGGTGGAGCCTTTCTCGTCCATTGAAATGGAACGAATCTCCTTGACGACTCTTCGCTCGACAAGTGGGCCGCAGAGGGCAGTCCTCAAGGACTCTTTGGACGACTGCCTCTACGTGCCCTGGGCTCTTGTTCAGGAACCCAGCTTCGGTTACCATGATAGGGATCTATAGCGAAATAATGTGGTTTCTCTATTCTGGTAGCTTAAAAGCAAGGCTCCTTAGCAAGAAAGCCCAGGTGGAGTACTTCGAGTTCCCTGAGGGCCTGGCCGATTTCAAGAAGCCGCCTCCCCTCCTCGGCCGGAAACCCGACATCTCCCGGTCGGAGCAGCAGATCGATTGGGTCAAGACCGACGCGCCCCTTTCCTCTCGAAGATTTCGGGATGCCTTTGTCTATTCTCAGGTATTCATGATATGGGTATGGTGTGCTTTCCTGCCAGCCGAGTCTGCTTTTGTGTTGGTTTCAGAGCCTATGAAAGGGTGTGCCTGACTCACTTTCCAGCCGCCGAGGCCGTGGACGGGGCTGCCGGCCAACTTCAACACAAACTTTGCTGCAAGGCACGTTGCCCAAAAGATCTGCTTGGCTTGGCCCATGCAACGACGAGTTCATGACTAGCTGACATGAAGATCCTGACTCCTCATAGCCATGCCGAAGCGCCAGTATTAAAAAGATGTCAGGGGATGTTTGCACTGACTCAACAGGTGGAAGGGCGTCGTCGAAATCACCAAGATGGGTGACTACCAGCTGAAGCTGGAAGCTTGCACCAGCTCCGTCTTGAGGCACCGACAGTGCCGTGCTTGTTTCGAACGCAGACACTTGGAGCTGCAAGGCTCAACGACAAAGTGGTAATCGATGGGTCTGGAGAGTGGCAGGGGAAGCTCTTGGGAGGCTCCAGACCGCAGACCGATTTGTTCTTTTCAGACTCCTGCTGCATGGAGGCCCCAATCGAATCACAATGGATTTCTTCTCGAACGAGGCCGCTGTTTAGACTCGTGACTCTCTTGCGTGTTGCTTCTGACCAAAGCATGTAGCAAAGGCTTCCAAGTTCGTCCAGCTGTCGTACTGCGGGCCAGACACGGGAGACGAATGGACCATTATGCCCGTGGCGGTGCTACAGCACGAGGCTTGCAGGCACGAAGACTCGCAATGCCACTGCTGCTGGGAGCATTCCTGTCACTTACCGCCCTCCAAAATGCAACTCAGGATTTGGAATCGTGCCAGGCCGGACGGCATTCCCGCTGCAGCACTGTAAAGTCGACTCTTGAGATTTGTTTTGGATGCAGGTTGTCCCAAAGCCAGGTTTCATCGCAGAGTACTTCCCCGAGGCTTGGGCAAGCCAAAACTAGACAAGCCAAACTGGCGGCAAAGTCTGCCTTTCGCAGAACCATGATGAGTTACGAAGGAGGACAACTATCCGCCAGTCTTGTAGGGGGCCTTGCAGCGAAGAACCACCCTCAAAGTGCACCCAGCATGACAGCGGAACTCCCGATAACTCAGCCCTGCTGTACCCTGCAGGCCTACGAGGATCGCGCCATCCCAGGTGGCATTGACCCAGACATTGTTCGAACGGAGAAGCAGCTTGACTTCGAGGAGGCTGGTATACCAGGCACCTTTCTTCGTCCACAGGAGCGACCCTGTGCTGGCAGGTGGACAGTAATTGGCAAGGCCTGCCGAAGCGTTATGCCGGGCCTTTCACAGCCCGCTTCACAACGTCCGCCCCCCAACGCCACGGCCATGACTCACGTGGATGATGCCAGTCGTGTCCCGGCAGATACATCAATGTCACCTGTGGCGATGCCAAGAAGGCCAAGTATCAGTTCATGCTGGAATCCGGCCGCTGGGCGACGATCGCGCTGTATGTTCTGCCCCGAGATTGGTTGTCGATTCCTGCAGAATACAAGGAGAGAAGGCGATCCTGTACATCAACGACAAACAGGTGTCCACGGAGGACAAGCCTGTGGACATCGAACTGAAGAGAGGCGAAATTACCACATTACGTGCATGACTTGATTGTACTTGATTCCTACATTCTGATAAAGATTGTAGATGCCAGGTCAGCACCTGGTTCGTGTTGAGTACTTCTGCAACACGAAAGAGACGCACGGCTTCTTGCTTGCAACGACTTGGCTTTGCAGAACTCACGGGGTAGCATTATCGATTCTGTCCACTTCGCAGCCCCAAACTACCCTAAAGCCTTGAAGCCCAAGACCCTAAAGCCCAACCCTAAACCGGTCCATCTGCCTCAGGCTTAAAGCTCTTCTACCGCGGACCCGAAACGATGCCAAAAGTGGAGGACGGAGAGGAGATGCCCGAGGCCCTGCGGTGGAAGAAAGAAGCAACAATATAGCATCAGGTTTAGGGTCTAGGGTTTAGGGTTCAATATGGGAGTTTCCGAAAATACGGGACCCTAATATAGCACCCTAAATACTAGGGTCCTTGTTAGAAGGACCCCTAAATAAGGTACCCCTTCTTTTCGGAAACTCCCATAATATGGCATCAACACATACGAAAACTAACTCAGTGTAATGCACAAAAAGTAATTATGATATACTGGAAATAGGTTAACTGCACTAATACGTATTGTAACATACCTTATTACAGTGCAAGAACAATAGAACTGACTCACTTCGCCTCCACGCACCTCCTGGCACCAGGGTGCTGGCAAGATCCTCGTCCCACCCACAGCCACATGTTCCTGGGCGAAAGATGCTGAGTTCTACCATCTTCCACTTCACGAAACTGGCCGCATTTGTGCTGACCTTCCGTTCCACTCCATGAGGCTACTATGCGCTGCCATCCTGCGTCCTGTCCTGAGACTGTGCAGCCAGTTTACGACCAGGAAGCAACTAGAAGCGCCCATGCCTTGCTTCGAAGGCTCAGCCGAAGGGAGAGCCGCTCATGAAGCACGACAAGGACAACCTTCATGCAAGTTGCAAGCGATTCGAGATTTTGCCTTGAAAGGCTGTTCACACGGTGCTCTGGTCAGAAGACGATTCTCGCATTGCATCGGTGGGCGGTGCTGGCAAGGTGGGCTCAGGGGGCTCAAGCTCTCGATCAACTCTAAGATGCAGCACATGCACATGCCCTGCACATCTGCCAGATTCACTTCTGGGACCCACCGACAGGAGCTCCTTGGGTGCCATGCTGTCTTGCTTGTAGCACCCACCGGCTGCTGCACCCATAGAAAAAAATCGAAAGTCTCCACAGCTAACATCAGAACTCCGTAGACCTTGGGAGGACGGTACGTGGACAGTACCGATGTCGGTGGTAAGATCACGACAGCAGCTGGTGGCAAGGACAAGATCGTCAGGTGCTCAGAGTCCAGGAGCTGGGTACATCAAGGGCTGCAGCGTGTGAAAGCTGCCGAAGCTCCCCTCGTTTCTTGTTTGTGTGAGAGCGTGACTGTAAGGGTGGGGGGGCTCTTATCAGCACCACGGCACCCGAACCAACTCAAGAAAACTGCAAGGGGGAGTGTCTTTTCAAGAAGCTGCTACGAGCCTATGGGTATCAATGAGCCTCATAAAACTCTGTCTTTTCTGTTTGTTTGGCCAGCTGTCCTCGCATGTGCTCAGTAGTCTGCACCCGGCACAGACATGCTGCCCAGCTTGGCAGCGCAGTCTCAAGTCCACCTGGAACTATCAGTGATAGACCAGTTCGGATGAATCACTGCATCATCCTGCATTGCATTCCGAAGGCTTTGGCTATGGATGACGATGATCGGGCCTCTTGACATGAGCTCGGTTGGGGGGTCCGATGCTGTTCATGTACATGCGAGTGAAAAGTATCCAACTCCTGCGCTTGTGGTTGCTCGTTTCGACAGGCCATCAAGATCATCGACTTTGCCGAGAAGAAGGAGATTCGAGTCCTGAAGCACGTGCCAACAGATGTGCCAGACGAGGAGACCCCTTTGCAGGAAGTTGTGCGGTTTCATTACGGCTTCCAGTCCCACTAAGCCGAGACCCCCACACTAAGCCCTTGAGCCCTTGAAAGCCCTCACGCGATCCTGCATCCTTATTCTGAATCTCCCTGCCGAGGAGCCAGAAGAGCCGGAGCTCGACGAGAATGGCGAGGAGATTCCACGCCCGGAGCCACCCAAGAAGCTCGGTCCCCACGAAGGTCGGGTCCCAGCTTTAAAGGAGGTCGGGGAAGGGTCTGTCTCTATCTCTACATCTATCGCTCTCTCTCTCTCTCTCTCGCTCTCTCTCTCTCTCTCTCTCTCTCTGTCTGTATACGTGTATATATATATATATGTAGAGAGAGAGAGAGTGAGAGTATGGAGGGTTTAGTGAGGTTTTGGGGTAAGGTTTCAGCGGTTTGCAGTGGAGATGGGGGCCCACGATCTTCCGATCTTCTCTTGCAGGCCCGGTCCGCATTATTTGCTTCAGCCGCGATGGCAAATTCCTTGCCTCTGGCAGCGAGGACCGAAGTACATGAACTTGCACGGGGCAATACCCGAAACCTGTTCAGGAAAGGGCGCGGTAGCTTTTTCCAGGATGCCAGATTGTTGTTTCCACAGGGCATCGCCGTCTCTTCACCATGTGGTTGGCTCTGATGGGGCATGTGTGCCCGAAGGACGGTGTGGTGAAGCTGTGGGATATGGCATCGGGTGCGGAGCTCATGACAAAGGCCATCGTCCAAACCACAAAGGACGCATGCTGACATGGCGGGAAGCCGAAGAAGCCCAAGCTGAAAGGCTGGAACATGCTGGAACCCCGTGCGCACAGGAGCACGGCGAAACACCCGTAGCCGTCCACGCAGCAGGGTTCTGCGGCGATGGTACCAGGTGTTTTGCCTGCAGATGCGTTGGCCTTGTACTTTGCTTTGTGATGAGGCGCCAGCGCACTAGACTAGGGAAACCACTTTGGCACCACCGTTCAGGCTGCTTGTGGGCAGCAATGAGAAGCACCTGCGAACCTTAGCTGAAATGGCATCTTACTCCGTCGCATCGAGCACAGACGATTCAGCTGTTGCATGCTTCGCTGCTAAGCTACTAGCAATGCTGGCAGGGAAGCCTAAACCCGAAACGCTCAACTCCAAACCCTAAGCGCCCAAGCCCCAAACTCCAAACCCTAAATCCATGCTCTCGCCTTTAAAGGCATCTACAACACCGCGACCCGCGACGAGCTGCGTGGTCCAAAGAAGCTCCTCCCGAAGCCCGCCGAGCCGGAGGAGGGTTGGACCGAGGAGAACCCTGAGCCGGAAGATGAGTACGAGGAGGCGATAGAAAACATTGTAGTGTATCAGACTTATATGGCAAACAGACTGTAGTATAGGATATTGTACTTTGTTATATCAGATGATATCTTTTTTACTAGAGTTTCAGAGCAGAAGTTCGAAGTGCGACGACTGTCCGATTCAGGGTGACCCAATCTTCGTGGCCTGCCACAAAGCACCGGTGGCGGCTTTGCCAAAGTTAGAGACTTGTTGAGTGAGTCGGCGACTTGGACTGTCTGAGGTGTGTCTCTCCTTCTCACCACTGGATGCCAACCGTGGCTTGGCTAGAAAGGTTCTCGGCAAGTCTGCGATTTCGCTTCGCTGGTGTTCGTGCGCAGCACCCTGCGGCACCTGCGGCACTGAAATGCGAGGCCTTGCGACGTGCAGCACGGACCGTCGGCAGCACTCCGGTTCTGCCACGTGCATACCTCTTACCCCACGAGACTCCCAGTCACGAGATGTGCGGTTTGTGTTGGGGTCAGCTGGGACTAGACCTCATCGTTGCTCGCACAGCTTGCATGTGAGTGAAGAAGGCGATGTCTCAGCTGAGGATGCGACCATCCGGATCTGGGATCTCATCAACAGCAACTCGTTTTTTTCCGAAGATTGTACATTCTGTTTTGATGTGGCTGACGTACAACATCAACATAGCGCTTTCCAGTCCAAGAGAGCGCAGCGGGCAGTGCATTGCCTCCGAGCCCAGGTGAGTTTGATGCCGAGCTCAAGCAGGCTGGGGTCCCCTTTGGGAAGTGCCTCTTCTGTGTTCCATGGCTTTTGGGCAGAGGTCATAGATCCAATCCAGTGCTTATCTGGCTTCGTGACCTGGTCCCCGGATGCTACCTCGCTGGTGTCACGCCGGCTGCAAGTATGACCGTGTGCATAGCAGGATCAGGCAATATCACACACCACAGACAGGTCGTCGTCAGAGGACATTTATGTTGGACTCTTCTCAGCAGTCAGTGGCCAGCGCCGAGCAGATCCCCTTCAGGCACATGTGCAAACACCAGTGAGCATTGGCAGGGCGGGCTCGTACCGGTGGATTTCCATGCCAGGGCCATTTGGCAAGTGTGCGGTATGCTGCCTGGGCTCCGTGCTCGTCGCAAAGCAGCAAAGAGCATAGCAAGTTGCATCAATCTGCACTGAGCACTGTTTGCGGAACCTTTTGGGTCATACACAGAAAGAAGTAGTGAAGCAAGATGAAGCAAGGCAAGCCTTCGTCACATGCTCGGACGACCACACCGTGCGCTTGTGGCACTTCTTGGTCAATAGGACCCAGCCGGCAGCTGTAATTCGCGCACATGCCTTGCAATCTGTGGGTTCCCGAAAATAGGGGAGCCTAATATAGTACCCTAAATAGTAGGATCCCTATTATAAGGACCCCAAAATAAGGTACCCCTAATAATCGGAAACCCCCATCTTGGTGGGATCTGGCAGGAACATTACCGAGATTGCCGTGCTGGAAGGTGAGCAAATGGAGTTCAATGATGACATGCGAAAGCCTCGCACCCAGCTGTTCCAAAGCAGCTGCACTGTTTCTTTGCCGTGTTGCCACACATGCTATCAAAACCTAAACCCTAAACCCTAAACCCACACATGCTATCAAAAGTTGGCCCGTGCAGGTGGAACGAAAGCTTGCACAAGATTCGAAACGAGTTCAAGGATCGGTGGCATAGAGGGCCTGCAGCACCAGACCTGTAGGCAGAGGGTATGTAAGGGCAGTGCTGTCGCGGTTTCTGTGCTCTAAGCCCCTAAACCCTAACCCTAAACCCTAAACCCTAAACCTAAGCTTCCAGGACTACAGCAAGGGCCTGTCGGACTACGAGACTGAAGTCTACAGCTTGAAGAAGCACCTGGATGAGGTCCGCTCCTGCCTCGCCGTAGCTGTGAGGGTGATGGGGTGACTGTGAACAGCTGGATATTACGTTTGTAATCTGTACATGCAAAAGATAATTGAACGATTCACAGACGTCCGCATTTTATGGGCATTTTATGGTAGGGAGTGTGATTGGCATTGTCCGTTTTTTGCTTCCGAGGCCTTGAACAGGACGAAGTCCTACGTGTCCCGAGAGCAACTTCTTGGCCTGGAAGTGACGGATCCTTCGCAGCGAGTGTGGTGAGCTCGCATGAGCACTCTTCGCGCCTTTGCTTTCTTACACGAGTTTCCAACGAGGACTACTACGAGCTCGACGGTATGATCGACGACTTCAACCCGTACTATCTACTTTGGAGCACCGTCATCGAGTTCCAACGTTCAGACAAGCCTCTGAGCTGCCAATGAGTTTGCCTTGTGTCGTGTAGACAGTACTTCTAGAAGCTACTCGAACAAGCGCAGAAGACCCAGCAGAGGAAGTGGACGACGGAGCCCATCGCAACTCACAACTCGACGGTTGTGGAGAACACCATCGATGGCTGGTACAAGCCTCCTAGCCGCAGCGTGATAAAAGTCTGACAGTACGAAAAGCAGGAGCCACACATCTTTCGGGAAGGGCTAGCATTCCCTCTGGAATTTCGTGAATGGAGCATTGGAGCTGAGCTCCAAGTATTAACGAGAAGGAAGCTCCCAGGAATAGGGGAATGTCGTCGTTTGCAAGTCGTCAGAAGCCCAGGCTGGTCTACAAGATGATCAAGGACTTCGACAACGACAACATGAGGCAGTGCTTCAGATCTCCACCGTCTGCAGCCGGTGTTGCTTTTAGCATCTTTTAGCCGAAGAGTTGAACCTGGCAGCTGTGCAGTCTAAAGACTTTTTGCTGACTCATCGGAAATCAATCGCACAGATGGTCTGGTGATCTCGCAGGGCTGCGCAGAAGATCGCCAAAGAGTTGCGTCAAGGCCTCGAGGAGTTCAAGGGCCGCTTTCCTTTCCTGCGCTGCTTCGCGAACGTGCTCTGGATCCACTTACTAGCAGCAAGTTTGTGGAGATTCTGCATTCAAGACTATGCTTCGGGATGCTCTGTTTTTTGGAAGACTTAGGAGTCAGTTCTGGACCGACACTGGAAAGAGATGTTCGAGCGTATGGGCGACGCGGCTCCTCCTCCAGCCCTTTACGGCAATGACTACCACAAGGTGACACTGAAAATGATGTTGGACTACAACATCAACGAGTTCACGAATGACTTCGAGGAACTGTCAACTGCAGCAGCAAAGCAGCATGGTCTCAAGAAGGCCATCGACAGAAATTAAGCCATTTGCGTTAAAGGTGCGAAATACTGCTGGGTAGCATTGGCACTTCTCCAGTCATGTCTAAAAGGCCATGGCCAACATGAAGATCGAGTGGGAGCCTCTCGCGTTCGCGACAGCTGAACGCAATGGAGTGCCGTTGCTTCGCGGCATCGACGAAATTCAGACGGTCCTTGACGACCACATTTCCAAGACCCAGGCTATCCGAAGCAGCCCGAGGCTAAGTCAAAACAACGCAGATCCAGCCTTCAATCATCCGTTTAGGGTTGCAGACCCCTAAACCCAAACCCTAAGGCCCCAAATCCTAAGCCCCAAGCTCTGACCCTAAACCCTAAACCAAGCCCTGAATTTACATCTTGAAATCCTAAATCTTTGCGAGGTCCCTTCTGCAAGCCCTTCGAGGCAGAGGTCCACGAGTGGGAGCACACACTGATGTATATCCAGGATTTCATCGACCAGGTGATCGCCCTGCAGAGGCGGGGAGTTCTTTCAGACCGCCAAAAAGCTACGCTATACACGATATTCTGTGATACTGTACTATCCGATGGTCAATTATAACAGTTCATAGCATAGTACAGTGTCATATAGTACTGTATAACATAGTCTTGTCCGTTCAGCCTAATTGAGTTTGTCAGCCCCCATCCAGCTGTTCAGGAGCTGGATGGCACTCGAACCGATTTTCGCGTCGGACGACATCAAGCGTCAGCTGCCGCAGGAGCACTTGCTTCAATTCCCCCCCCCACCCCCGGCCCCCTCCCCGTGGGGATGGTGGTGAAGTGGGGAGTGCAGCTGCAATAAGGTGCTGGAAGTTGTTCGAGAGCTGGGGGGGGGGGGGGGGGGGGTGCTAAGTTTCACTATGATAAGTACCAATGCTAAGGGGCTCCGTAATTTGGGAACGCTTCTGATGTGAAGACAGCGAGGAATCCGAGTCCTTCGCTCGGATTGATAGCAACTTCCGCATGCGCATGGCGCAAGTTGACTCCAACAAGATCCTTGGTGGCCATCGGGGAGTCATCCTATAACATGGGTAGGTAGGGTTTAGCGTTTTACGCAAGCTTGTTCCGCTGAGGAACTGCATCGCCATTTCCAAGATTGAGAACATTGTGGAGGACATGACAGAGGCTTTGCGACTGAACTGAGCATGTTGCTGCAAGTGCTGGCAGTCACGAGTGCATGCCCGAGGCCAACGTCACGATTGAGAAGGTTCAGAAAGGCCTCAAGGACTACTTGGAGACAAAGAGGTGGGGGCGATAGCAACAGCAAATGCGAGCATGGTGTGCCCATGTATGCCTGCAGCTGCTACGTGCTTTCTCCCTCACGTGAGGTTGTACTTCCCACGCTTCTTCTTCTTGAACGATGCTGACCTGCTGTCGATTCTGGCGGAGACCAAGGAGCACCTGAAGAAGAGCTTGCATCCGGCTTGTGCAGCGGAAGTGAGATCTACAGGCTAGTATCCTAGTCACACGGGTATGACATGGCACTGGCAGTTGTACGAGGATCCCACCCTGGTGCAGCCTCACTTGAACAAGGCCTTTGAGGGCATCGCCAAGGTCCGTTTCGACTCCAAGTGAACCGGCCGAAGTAAGCAGACCTTCGCATTTATGCACGTAGTAGGTGCATAAGTACAGAAACACGAACACAGCTGTTGCTTCATGCAAGCGATGCAGCCTGCACAAGCCCAGGAACGAAATTATTGAAGCGATGACTTCTGGAGAGGGCGAGACTGTTGACTTCACCAACAAAATCGATGTCATGAAGCCTGGAAACGCTGGTGCAGTGGAGTGCTGGCTCGTGGAGGTGGAAGAGTCTATGATGGACATCCTCCGTGAGGTCACTGACAAGTCGAATAAGGCATACCCAACAGCAGACCGAGTGAAGCCACTTGGATTCCAAAGTTTATCGACTGTGCCCCATAGTCCACGCTCCAAGCCCTCATCGGAATTGCCAGGTGGTGCTGCGAGTGGCCTGGCCAGGTTGTCCTGGCAACGGTGTCTTGCCTTCAGTGGAAGCCTGACAAAGGGGCATGTCCTATGTGTGGGCAATGCGAAGACTTTGTCAGGATATGATCTTTTGGACATCCGAAGTCACCGATGCATTGAAAAAGGGGGCAATTGCAGAATATGAGAAGCCGCTGGGCAAGCTCAAGTTCACAGGTTGCCCTAGCTCCAGAGCACTGGGCCAACGCAGTTAGGGGGTAAAGAGTTTGAGAGATTCCGTGCCTATTGAAGAACAGCTTCGGCAGTGGCTTTCGATTTAAAGGATATAAGTAGGTTTCCAGAAGTGAAAGCTGCCGGAAACACGGAAACACTTCGCAGCCTTGTCCGTCTTGGATCTTTTGGTAGGCGAACAAGACGCCAGGAAGGAGCAACGAGAGATTTTGCTGGAGATCCACGAATGAAAGGACCAACCAAATTGACCCCTAAACCCTAAAGTCTAAACCGATTGCCAATCCAGAGGAACTTCAATGGGGTGAAGAGTAAGAACCACCAGATTTAAGCTTCTTCAAAGCGTGTTTCTCTACCAGACATACTCGTTTTTGTTGTCATGTGCGCATTATGCAAGGAAGCTCTTCAAACAGCTGGAGGACATCGTGGTTCTGGTTCGAGGACATGACAGTCATGCTCTATGTCTATGATGTTTCGGGAAGTAGCGTTTTTCCCACCGACGTCTGTGGAGTTAGCACGACAAAATACCGACGCATTAAGATGCATCCCCTGGACCCCAAACTCTACTACCGCCAGGAGAGATGACCAAACTCAATCGCGTAACCGTGGGTGCCATGGTGACGCTGGATGTCCATGCGCGAGACGAGGCAGAAACCTGACGGTGTGCTGTTACCCCGCACGGATATCATTCTGGTGTGTATGTGTAAATATGTATATGTATATGCCGATATAGATATCTTAGTACTCCGTACATATCGCACCAAATCATGTCTTCGTTGTTCATGTTTTGCAGCATGTCATATCATATCACATTATATTGTCTGTTAATATCTGTCAGTATATTATATGCTGGTGCAGGTGACGAACCTCGTGCAAAAGCGTGTGGACTCTCCAGACGACTTCGCATGGCTGTCACAGCTACGATATTATTGGCAGGACCCGTTTGTTTACCGTGACATGCATGTGAGAAGAGAGCTTGCAAGCCCTTTGCATGTCGCTGCCATCAGGACAAGAACTCGTTCGTCAGAAACGACACGGGTAAGGAGCATCTCGGCAAGTCTTCATATGAGCATCACTTTGAGCATCCATCCCACCTCAGACTAGAAAATGTTTCACCCGAGGAATGACAAGATGGAGTGCAAGGTCTCCATTGTACCCGGGCAGGAATCTGGTGTCTGAGCGGGTCTGCTGAGTCTTATTGCCGGACTTCAACTCAGGTAAACTCCACTCTGCTGTATGGCTTCGAGTACTTGGGCAATTCGCCTCGTCTTGTCATCACCCCGCTCACAGACAGATGCTACCGAACCTTGATGGGTGCCGCGGAGCCAAGCAAGCATGCGTCTGCTTTCTCTTTCTCTTGTGGAGGGAGTTGGGCGAAACCGAGGTGCCTTTGCGCTGTACTATGGCGGAGCGCCCGAGGGGCCTGCGGGGACAGGAAAGACTGAGAGTACCAAAGACTTGGCGAAGGCATTGGCCATCCAGCTGCTCGGTCAAAGGCGTCTTTGGACCGGGTGTCCTTGCTTACCGAGAGAAATCGTAGATCATGTGTGAGACTCGAGCCGCTCGTGTGAACTGGCAGTCGGCAACTTAGGTGCGTGGTCTTCAACTGTGGCTTTGTCGCACTTCTGAGACCCTGCGGTCTTTCGATCGTCACTCTTCTCAAATCATAATCCTGCCTGCTTTTTTTAGGCAGCGACTCCATGGACTACCTGCAGCTGGCCAAGTTCTTCAAAGGCGTTTTTGGGGCGGGAGGTTACGGCAGGGGTGAGTAGCGAGTGGCACCAGGCAGCTTGACAAACTCGAACCAAATCTATACCGGTACCTTCGACCACAGTCTTCTCAGCCGCAGGCATAATAGCGAGAAAAGCTGTTCACTTAGCGCACTGGGCTTCAAAGCAACGAGCCGACAAAGCGCCAATTGCTTGGCCTTGCAGCCTTGCCCTCTTCCTGTCTCCGAGCGTGAAGGCCTCGCTTCCAGTGGCTCCTGGTGTTGCTTCGACGAGTTCAACCGGATCTCGCTCGAGGTGCTGTCCGTGGTTGCTCAGCAGATCCAGCAGATCTCCCTTGCGATCAAGCGCCGAGTGGAGAAGTTCGTCTTCGAGGAGACGGAGATCAAGCTGGTCTGCTGCTCAGTTCTGAGACTCATGCACTACGGAAGTCCTCTCGGAACTCGCAAGGAGGTCCGCCAGAAGCCCAAGCCCATGATCATAAATTTGGGTCCTGGAAAGATCTAACGGAAGGGAGTGGTGGGTCATAAAACGAAGCCAGCTGCAAAAACGGCCAATATCCTCACACGAGACGACAGGCGAAGCCGGAAGGGCTTCATGCGTCGGGAGTGTTGATCAGTCGGGGGCCGACAACCTCATACATGCTCATCTAGCAACTGGCTGGTTCGCTTGGAGCCAATGCCCCCTCGTTTCGGTTGCAGCGCCTGTGCCACATCCAAAATCTGAGCTCAAGCTCAGGTGCCCACTTGCGCAGTGAACATCACCATGAATCCTGGCTATGCTGGTCGATCTGAGCTTCCAGACAACCTGAAAGCACTCTTCCGACCTTGCGCCATGATGGTTTCTCGGCTAGATTCAGGTTCAGTCTGGCTCCAGTGTAATGTGCCACCTAGCCGCAGGCTCGCGAAGCTATCCTAAGCTTGATAAAGCTTCTTGCGAGTGAGGTGCCCAACTACGCTCTGATTGCAGAGATTCGCTTGTACTCCTTTGGCTACTCGGATGCCAAAGTCATCGGCACCAAAGCCACCATGGCCTTGAAGCTGTCCTCAGAACAGCTGTCTCCACAGCGCCACTACGATTTCGGCATGCGCGGTCTGAATGCTCTGCTGGTGGCCGGCGGCAATGGCAAGCGAACCTACGGCGACAAGTACCCCGAGGATGTCATCGCCTTGCGATCATTCACAGATGTCAACCTGCCGAAGTTCACCACCGCAGACTTGCCCCTGTTCAAGGGTATCATTGGTGACTTGTTCCCAGGAGTAGAGCTTCCACCGAGCAATGCTGGAAAGCTCATGGCCACGATCGACATGATTGCTGAGAAGAGGGGACTGCAGCCGACCAAGCCATTCACCACAAAGGTCGTCCAGCTCTGGGAGACCGTTCTGGTTAGGCACGGTCTGATGACAGTCGGAATTCCACCGTGCGGCAAGACTAACGTGAAGAATGTGCTGGCAGAGACCTTGGGTGAATTGGCAGATGGAGAAGAAATGATGCCTGTGACTCAGTATGTCATGAACCCCAAATCAATTACTCAAGGGCAGCTTTACGGCGAGAGCGACTTGAACACGCAGGAATGGACAGATGGAGTGCTGGCAATCGCAGTGCGCGAGGCCATGAAGGCATTCGGCGATGGTCGTCGTCAGTGGGTCGTGCTAGATGGGCCGGTCGATGCCATCTGGATCGAGAACATGAACACCGTGCTTGACGACAACAAGAAGCTGTGCCTGAACAGTGGCGAGATCATTAAGTTGTCGACTGTGACTACGATGTTGTTCGAGGTTAGGGACTTGGACTATGCCTCGCCAGCAACTGTGTCCCGTGTGGGCATCGTGTTCCTGGAGCCTGACACCGACTTGGGCTGGAAGCCGATCGTGGACTCGTGGCTGCTCACCTTGCCTGACTATATCAAGGAGGAGCATAGAGATCAGATTTTCTCGCTGTTCAACAACTACTTCGAAGTGCTTCTCGAGTGCACACATCGTGTGCGCACTCCTTTTGCAGTATCTGACGGGTGGCTCTGCTGCATGGCGACGAGGATGATGGATGCTTTGATCTCAGATCAAACGGAAGGCTTCTGCAAGCCAGAAGTGAAGGTCCCCGAGGGTGAGGAGCCAGATGACGACATGGACATGGGGCAGAACTTCATGGACCGAGAGATCATGATCTTCCAGCTTTTCTGGTTCACCATGACATGGACTTGCGGCGCATGCACCGATGCAGATGGCCGTCTGTTCGTGTGCGACATCATCCGCCAGTGCATGGATAACAAGAAAGACTTGCTGCAGAAGTTCAACTTCGTTGCTGACTTTGCAAAGGTCGACATCACTGGTGGTGGCAGCATGCCATCCGCACCTCGAAAAGGGCTGCTCCATGATTCCTTCATCGATCCCGTCGACGGGGCGAAATGGAAGCCGTGGACAGAGCGCATTGAGGGCTTCGACATTCCCAAGGACACGCCATACCACACAATTGTCGTTCCTACATCGGACACGTGCCGAAATCAGTTCCTGATCCGGACGCTCATTGAGAGGGGCTACAACATCCTCATCAGCGGACCGACAGGAACTGCAAAGACGGCGTCCATCCAGGGCATGTTGCTCCAAGGATTCAGTCCAGACAGCTACGCGACCAACTCCTTTGCATTCTCTGCTCAGACGACAGCTAATCAGACGCAGGACGTCATCGATGGCAAGCTGGACAAGCGCAAGAAGGGTACATTCGGGCCACCGCCAAACAAGAAGATGTTGGTCTTTATCGATGACTTGAACATGCCCTTCAAGGAGGAATATGGTGCGCAGCCTCCAATTGAGATTCTCCGCCAGATGTTCATTCTCACGCCCTTTGGATACGGCTGGTATGACCGCAAGGGATGGGAGTTCCGACAGCTGATTGACATTCACATGCTAGCCGCCATGTGCCCACCAGGCGGAGGCAAGAATGACATCACAGACCGATACTCCCGATGGTTCAACTTGCTGTTTGTCACGCCGTTTGATGAGGAGAGTTTGAGCCGAATCTTCGTCACGGTGGTCAACAAGTTCATGAGCGTCATGGCACGTGATGTCCTGGCAGCAGCCGCGGGTGCAGTCACTGCGACGCTCGAGGTTTATACCACGGTGCTGAAGGAGTTGTTGCCTACACCTGCCAAGTCGCACTACACCTTCAACATGCGAGATGTGTCCAAGGTTTTCCAGGGGATTTGCCAGTGTTCGCGTGAATCGCTGCCCAAGGTAGATGATCTTGCCAAGTGCTGGCTGCACGAATGTGAGCGTGTATTCAAGGATCGCCTGACCACAAAGCAGGACATGAACTGGTTCACCAACCTGTGCAAGCGCAACATGGACAAGCACTTGAAGCGCCCGTATGATCAGGCCGTGAAGCTGGAGCCCGTGATCTTTGCAGACTTCTGTGACCCCAAGTCGTCTGCATATGTTGAGCTTCAAGATCACGAGAAGCTGTCTGCAAAAGTGCAGGAGTGCTTAGACGATTACAACTCGGTCAGCAAGATTCGAATGGAGCTTGTGCTGTTCATGAGCTTCATCCAGCACATTTGCCGGGTGATTCGAGTGCTGAGACTTCCGCTGGGCAATGCACTGCTGGTGGGCGTCGGCGGTAGTGGACGTAAAGCCACAACTACGCTGGCAACTTACGTTGCGCAGTATGAGCTTTTCCAGATCGAGATGTCCAAGGGCTACGGCATGAACGAGTGGCATGACGATATGAAGCGCATGCTCATGAAGAGTGGCTCCCAAGACACGAAAACAACATTCCTGTTCTCTGACACTCAGATTGCAAAGGAGGCCTTCCTAGAGGAGGTGTCTTCAATTCTGAACACGGGCGAGGTGCCGAATCTGTACGCGAACGAGGACCGTTTGGAGATTACCGAGAAGTGCAGCAAAGGTGCGAATGCAGTTGGCAAGAACACGCCTGCAGAGATTTTCGGATGGTATGTTGAAGAGTGCCGGAAGAACTTGCACATCGTGATCTGCATGTCTCCGATTGGGGCTGCTTTCCGAAACAGGTTGCGAAGCTTCCCCAGCTTGGTGAATTGCTGCACCATCGATTGGTTCCACGAGTGGCCGGCGGATGCCCTCTCTGCGGTGGCGAATCAGTTTTTGTCCAAGGACAAGGACCTGGAGTTCGATGATACCATCCGAACGAACGTGACCAAGATCATGGTGCAAGCTCAGCAGTCCGTCTTCAGCCTGTCAGAGAAGTTCCTCTTGGAAGCCAAGCGCCACTTCTACGTCACACCGACCTCCTACCTGGAGTTGATCAGCTCTTTCATCTCCACTTTGAAGAGTAGACGTCAGATCGTGCAGAAGGCCAAGTGGCGTTATGACACTGGGCTGGATAAGATCAACGACGCCAAGGAGCAAGTATCCGCTCTTCAGATCGAGCTGAACGATTTGGAGCCTGTCCTGGAGAAGGCCGCCCAAGAAACAGGCGAGATGCGCGAGCGAGTGGAAGCGCAGCAGGCAGGTGCGGTCGAAAAGAAGGCTGTGGTCGAAGAAGAGGAAGCCAAGGCCAACGCACAGAAGGCCAATGCTGCGGCAATCAAAGCCGATTGCGAGAAAGACCTGGCTGCGGCCCTGCCAGCTTACGAAGCTGCCCTGGAGGCATTGAGCAAGTTGTCAAAGGGCGATGTCGGAGAGGTCCGAGGTATGAAGACCCCTCCAGCTGGCGTGGTGCTGACAGCGCAAGCTATGTGCATCATGTTCGAGGTGAAGCCTGTGAAGGTGGCTGCGGCGGATGGCAAGGGCAAAGTGGACGACTACTGGGAGGCCGCCAAGAAGGAGCTCTTGGTTGACCCGTCACTGATCAACCGTATGGTCCACTATGACAAGGACAACATTCCGGATGCTGTTATCAACAAGGTGAAGCCTTTGTACGATGATCCAGAGTTCGAGCCGGACAAGATCAAGAAAGGCTCTCTTGCTGCCATGGGTATCTGCAAGTGGGTCCGAGCAATGGTGGTGTATGACAAAGTCGCGAAAGAGGTGGGCCCCAAGCGACAAAAGTTGGCAGGGGCCGAGGCCGAAGTGGCAGAAGCAGAAGCCACAGTTGCGGCAAAGCAGGCTGAGTTGAAAGAAGTCATGGACATGGTGGCGGATCTTGAGGCCCAGCTTCATGAAGCCAACGAGAAGGCCAAAGAGTTGTCGAGAAATCAGAAGGATTGTGCTGCCAAGCTACTGGGCTGCTGTTAAGGAACTTAACTTAAGTTAAAATAAGGGCGAGATATAAAGATAGATGTGTTAAATGCTCAGCTAAATCATAGGGTTTCCTTGCCATTATGATAAGTTAGTTGAATAGTTTAAGTTCCTGAACAGCAACCCAGGCTGGCCCGTGCAGAGAAGCTGATCGACGGACTGGGAGGCGAACAGGCAAGCTGGACTTCAAAGAGCAAGAAGTTGGGTCTCGACTACAACAACCTGACTGGTGATATCCTGATTGCTTCGGGAATCCTTGCATACTTGGGAGTGTTTACAAGCCAGTACCGAAAAGAAGCCTGCGATGGATGGTTGCAGAAGCTGTCCGACTTGAAAATCCCAGCCAGCAAGGAGTTCAGCTTGCAGAATCTCGTCTCCAAATGCTTGTGCGGTGATATCATGTTTTTTCCTGTTGGCGTTCTTGTTCTCTGTTCCTGTTGTTATCAACTCCTCCAGCAGTGCTACTAGCTACTGCTTGTACTTCCGTTTTGTCTTTTTTGTGGATCATAGGGGCGGTGGCCATCAGCATCACCATCACCATCATCATCGGCATCATCAGTAGTAGTAGTAGTAGTAGTAGTAGCAGCAGTAGTAGTAGTAGTAGCAGTAGTAGTAGTAGTAGTAGTAGTAGTAGTAGGAGCCCGCGATGTTGCGTCGCAAGCCCAGGAAGTGCATTGGAGATGAGGTAAAGATCCGTCAGTGGGTTATCGACTACCTGCCGAATGACTCGTTGTCTATCGACAATGCCATCATCTTGGACAACTCGCGCAGGTGGCCGCTAATGATCGATCCGCAGATGCAAGCCAACAAGTGGACGAAGAAGAGCAATCCTGACATTAAAGCTCTGCGTCTCAACATGCCTTACATTCGAGATCTCGAGAACTGCATCCAATTCGGCACCCCGGTGCTCATCGAAAACATCGAGGAGGCTTTGGATGCGATCTTGGATCCAGTTCTGCAGAAGGCGACCTTCAAGCAGGGCACACTCACCATGGTAAGATTAGGTGACTCCACAATCGAGTGGTCCAAGGACTTCAAGCTCTTTGCCCTGTGAACAGTTTGCCCTTTTCGGTTGTGTTGGTTGTAAAGGCGGGGCCTGCAAGTGCCGCTTCAAAGTACTTGTCTCACCCAGGCTCTACATCACCACCAAGTTGCCCAACCCGCACTTCCCACCCGAGATTTGTGTGGCAGTCAGCATTCTGAACTTCATGGCCACGCAGGATGGCCTTCAGGATCAGATGCTTGGAATCGTCGTGGCTGCGGAAGAGCCGGCCACCGAGGAGAAGCGAGTGAACCTGGTCATCGAATCAGCCAAGGCGAAGTCGCAGCTGAAGGATCTGGAGGACAAGATCCTCCAGCTGCTGAGCTCTTCAACAGGCAATATCTTGGATGATGAGGAACTTATTGAGACTTTGTCCAGCTCCAAGATCATGGGCACCAAGATCGAGGAGCAAGTGAAGCAGCAGGAGATTACAGCTGTGCAGATCGCGGAGGTCAGGCAAGTCTACAAGCACCCTGGCAAAATGCTTTCGCATCCCTACTACCGAAGCCGGACAAAATTGACTTCCAAGGTATCATGCACTGCGGTGTGCTGCCCTCTATTTCATCATCGGCGACCTATGCATTGTTGATCCTATGTACCAGCACCTTGATAGCACTTTGGGGAAAGGCCCAGATGAAACCCTTGCAGCAGAGACACTCTGCAGAGGTTCTCGCTGGATTGGTTCATCGCCATGTTCAACCAGTCCATCAGGCTGGCACAGGTGGTTGCGTGTACATGCTCAGGCTAATCATGCCACGCATGCATCACGATACCTGTGCTGCACGGTTCGTCTATCTGCAATCTTGGCCATAATATCCATAATTGCTAGCTTCTTTGGAGGATGGCAGAGCCAAAGGAAAGCAAGGATGAGCGCTTTGTGGAGCTGTTCCGCTCGTTCATCGAGCTCCCCGGCAATAAAAAGTCATTGCTACTACAATGGATTGAAGCAGTTTCCCGCAAGATTGGCAGGCATTACTCTGTAGAAGTCGCGATTCGGCGAGCCTGTGATAAGTCTCCCTCCCATTGAACAGAGCAGAACGCGCCAGCTGATAGCTTTTCGCAGGTTGCTGTTCGTCATGGTCTGCCGCGGCCTCTTCGAAAAAGACAAGCTTCTCTACTCTGTTGCTTGGCACAAGCACTACTGGACTTATTGGCAAGGAGACAGTCTCCGAGCATGTCATGCGACCATGCAACCTCCCGGAGGTCATGCTCTGCCTGAAGTGCCAAGAGATGGAGAAGGAGCTGAAGCTGAACGAAGTCATGGCTCTGCTCACAGGTGCTCCAAAAGCTGTGCATTTTGGTTTCTGCGTTTCGTGGCCTTTGGATTCAGGCTTGCCGGGAAGCGCCAAGGAAGAGAAGCCAGCTGATTCAGGCACAGCCGCTTCCGTAACTCCGTCCACGCGTGTAGTCCCAGCTGTAGTATCTATCGCCACCGTCGCATAACTCCGATTTGTCCTGCAGGGTGGCTCACGATGGTGAGCTGGAATCGAATCAATCAGCTGCAGACTCTGGGCGATGTCTTTGATGGATTTGTTGGAGAGTTCTCGGCGAACATCAAGCAATGGCAGGATCCCCGCATGTTTTGTGCATGACTGGGACCAGTGAGCAAAATCCTGCAGGGACATTCACATTCCCGCAGAAGCAGAAACGCGCAGACCCGTTGCAGGAAGTATTCGACAGCGACGTTCCTGCCGAAGTCGAGTGGCCCAACAACTTCAAGTTGTCACCTGGATGAATTCATCGATGCTTGATGTGCGCGGATCAGTTGATGGAAGCCCCTCCACGTGCCGCGACTTCGTCCGATTCGTGAGATGCGTTCAGGGTCCTCCTGCATGCTGCACTCAGGAAGTGCAGTCCGCTCCAGAAAGCACTTCTCCTTTTTGCGCTCCGCCCAGACAGCACAGTCGGTGCCTTGATGGCCGTGGTGCAGGTGCATCGCAGCCCCAGACATTGGTGACTTTCTTGGGTTTCCTGTTCTTTGCAGGAGAAGCTGGGTAAGTTCTTCCTGGAGCCACCTCCGCTGGACTTGGAGGCCCTGTATCAGACCTTGTAAGCCCTTACTGTAAGAGATGTTTTTGTAGAATCTTGGCAGGTCTGCTACAAGGATTCGACACCGTCTATTCCGTCCTTCGACTGCAGTGGCACTCTCAGACTGTAGAGCCGAAGTGGACCATGCGCCAGGCTTATTTACATCTTGGCCTCGGGCAGTGACCCTATGGCAGACATCCAGAAGCTGGCCGAAGGGTCCCTTGCTGGGTTCTGGCATGTTTCCTGTGTCCGAGAGAGGGCGGTGAGCATACCTAAGGTTGGACATGCTGGCGAAAATCAATCCCATTAGCCTGGGACAGGGGCAGGGTCCAAAGGCCTGAAAGTGGCATCGATTCAACAGGCGCAGCGAGTTCCAATGGTGCCCGTGCAGGCAATTGCTGGCATCAACGAGGGCTCGCAGTCCGGAAAGTGGGTGCCACGAGTCGACCCATTGATCAGTCATCTCTTCTGACTGCAGCTTTCGGTGTCTAGCTGCTAGAGTCTAGCTCATTGTTAACATTGCTCTGATGACTTGACGCGATGTTCTGAAACAGAACGGACTTTGCAGCCGGGAGTGCAAAGAGACAGTGAAGAAGCGTTGGTGCTGGCCTCAAAAACTCCCTGCAGGTGCTTTTGCAGAACTGTCACTTGGCTCCCAGCTTCATGCCAACGCTCGAGTCCATTGCGGGCACCTCAGAACTACCGGAAGGATGGTGAAGCAAAGAAGCTATGGTATCAGAAATCAGCGCCCATGAACGGAAAGTTCCCGGCACAGTGTGCGAAAAGCAAATGCTGCCCTGCAGCCAGCTGTGAGGTCGAGAAGTTCGACCCGGAGAGCATGAACCAGGTGCCCGGATGCACCGTGCACAAGCGAACGATTGCAGCTTTTGAGCCTTTGCGACACAGGACTTCCGTCTGTGGCTGACGGCATGCCCCTCACCGGCCTTCCCAATCTCCATTCTGCAGATGGGTGGCCAGGATGAATTCCGCATCGAACTGTCGGTTCAGGAGAGGAAACCTAAGTCGTGCATGAGCCTGCCCTCCTTCCTTTGAGCCGCTGAAGGATGTAGGCTGAAAGGCTCACAGCGCAGGATGGCCCTCTGAAAAATACGGAGGAGCACAACTCAGTTCTCCAGCTTCACATGTATTGTGCAGACGGTGCCCTGCCCCTGTGGCTTGAGGTAGCAGATGGAAGAGTGGTCAGTAGTCTCCTGAGTGGAGGTAGCACCAAGGATTCCCCTGCCTCGTTGACCTCAATACGTTCGAGCAGCACCTGCCTGCGAGCCGTGTCTGTGCACCGAGGTATCAAGATGACCATCGAGCCACCAAAGGGTCTGAAGCAAGCATTGCTGCGAGCATACTTGGGCTTTGATGACGAATGGCCTCTTGACTTCGTATCTGCTTCATGCTGTTATTCACTTTGAAGTGTCTTCACAATATAGTGTTTTCAGAACTTTGTGGTCAGTCTATGCACTTTTTCTCCTTGCTTAGTTTGCAGATTCAAAAAATTCGTATTTGCGCACATTCAATTTGACAACCAGCTTTCCGCTAGCGAGCGACGGCAAGTGAATGCTTGACCTGTGGCCCCTTTCGGCTGTGATCCAGGGGGCCATCTTGAGCTTTTGTCTGCTGTTGCCAAACACGTGTGAGCGCATGTGCATTCCTTTGCTTGCCTCTCCTATTGCCGAAGTTTCGTCAGTTGGCACCGGAGCTTGGTTGTGGGCAACCTCGATCCAGGAGAAGTTCAGGAGCTGGCGGCTCTTGAATCCCCGGGTGCTTCTCGGCTACCTTCGTGACTTGGAGGCCTTCGGTGCGATCATCGGCTTTGTCGTGATAGAGCATGGCAGCGGAAGCAGCGAATGGGTGGGTCTATCGTGACAAGGACCCGCCGCGAGCGTACTCTGGAAGCAACCTGCACGTTCAAGCAGTGGCTTCGGGAGTTGGAGTTGTGGCAGGCCGGCACAGACCTGCCGAAGGAGAACCAAGGGCTGAACATAGTCCAGGCCTTGTCGGGCACAGCCAAGTTGGCCGTACACGCCCTACAATTCAAGCACATCAAGGGCGAGGCCGGCTGCAGCAACGTGGTGGCACGAAACGCGCGAGCCTTACATGGAGACCGCCTTCCCTGGATGCATGTGGAAGGGCCCATCCGAGACATGATTGCCACCTTGTTGGATTTGCGTTGGGACGTTCATAAATTGGACTTTTGGCGCAATGAGCTTGGAGAAACCGTGTTTGCTGTTGCTCAGGCTTTTGGCACGCCTGGCTTGGAGCGGGGATTTGATTGTGTTGTTGCTGGCAGGTATCGAGCACGAATAAGGTAAAAGCAACCTAAAGAGCTGCCATTCTTTGACGCCATGTTGCAAGCAGCTTTGCGTGGGCTGCGGATGACTTGTTGCATCATTGGTTGTGGGATTGCCTTCGGCTGCTTGCGGAAGTTGGGCATCCTACGCCTGAGTGGACTCTTCATTGCAGTAAAGCTGAACAGTGGGGTTTTGGCATTTTGGTTGGGCCAGCCGGCCAATAAAGCTGCCAAAAGGGGCCATTTCGGCAACCGACGGCAGCGGCGGGCCGCACAGCAATGATCCTCGGAAGCGCAGATGCGCAAGATCGGTTGTTGCAGTCGTTGAGCGTGATGGCGAGGTTGTAGTGCTGGGTAGTATTGTGTTCAGTTCGTTGGGGGCTGCTTGTCACCAGACGGTGCCGAGGGCTGAGGCCCAGGCACTTCGCTATGCCCTAGCGGTCACCTGCGTTGAAGAGGAACTGCACGTTTCTGCTGACGCTAGCTATGTCGTGACGCGTTTCCGGAATCTGCGTCCTTAGGTCAATCTGGATTTGTGCCGTTGACTTTCAAAAATCCAGATGTGTGAGGTCGGCTTGCTTTGTCGAAAGGGCTGCATTCTGAAGCCAAACTGCACAAAGTCAAGAGTCATATGAGTGCGCTCAAGCACTCGTTTGAGGAACGAATCTATTGGTTTGGAAGCCAGAAAGCTGATGAGTTGTGTGGGCCAGACTGTTGAGAGGCGATATTATCCAATTATATCCGATGAGTTGAGCAACGGACGGTTGATGTCTTGGCTTGGTTGCATCGGGCGGTTAGCTTTCCAATTCGTAGTAAAGCCTGTGAGCTTCGTAAAGTCAAGGGGCCTCGAAAGGCCACCAAAAACCGAACTTTTGCAGAATGTCCATTCAAGACTTATCGCAACACGCATCTTTGGAAAGTTCAGGAAGGACAAGCTAGCTGTATGTGGTGTTTGTTGGAGGTCAAGTGCAGAGAACCCACGATGGCAATGCAAGCAAAGTTTCAGATGCAATGTCCTTGTTCGGGAGGGAGGCTCGATTTAAGCAGGGTGACGGAGGTGCATCGCGACCACACGGTAGTGGGGTGCCCTAGAGGTATCTGATGCTCTCATGGACACGATTTGCAATTTTTCAGAATGAGGGCAGGCGTCGCTGGTGATTTCAGGATTGCAGGGTCTGCAAGTTTGCCTCTGGAAAAAAAGCGACAGACGCAAGCTACGTGAACCTCGCGGACGGTTCGTCTTAAGGCAGCGGTGGTGATCCTGGGTTTATTGGGTTCGAGGGCTCAGGGCCGTCGATCAGGATCTACTGGAAAGGCGAGTGCGCCCTGCTGCCTGATTTGGTGGAAGAGCGGCAAGTTGCGGAAGAAGGTCAACTCCACGCTGGCAGCAGGGACCCAGTCTTTGTTGAAGGTCTTGAGCGACCTGATGTGGGCCAAGGCCATTGACTATGAGCTGCTGGAGGAGGACTTTGACCTCGTGGAGTTCAAAAAAAAAACTTGAAACCCAAAGGCGAGCCAGTCTTGCAACGTTCGGACAGTGACGAAGAGCTCAAGCGAGCGCTCTCCATCGTGGACGCAAAGTCGCTGTACGACCGCCTGACCCGGGATGGCACCCACACGCAAGACAAGTCCAGAGCTTCGGACGTGATCATCGCGAGCGAGCGCAGAAATGGTCTTGGGGTGAATGTACGATGGGTGGAGCACCAATCAATGATCGCCGACTGCTTTACCATGGTTGGAGCCAACATGACAGCGATGATTCAGCTGTTGATGAAAAGCAGCTAGCCGTTGGTGGCCGAGGAAGGCCGCATGGAAGACCGCCGTGAGAGAAGAAAGCAAGGCCGCGTCAAGCCACGCTAGCGGGCACAGGTCAACTAATGATTTGGGAGCTGACCACCAGCTTTCCGCTAGTGAGTGAAGGCAAGTGAATGCTTGATCTGTGGACCGTTTGGGCTGTGACCGAGGGGGTCCTCTTGAGCTTTTGTCTGCTGATGCCAAACACATGTGAGCGCATGTGCATTGCTTTGCTTGCATTCTGAGTGCCGAAATTTCGTCAAATTAATGATTCACTTCATAATTGTTTGTCTTTTTGCGTACAGCATTCCAACTCTTTTTTTTTCATTGATCGTTTAGTTCGTGTTCTTATCTTCCTTTCTGGTGCCTTCCGTCGTGTTTCTTTCGGTGTGGGAGGGGTGGCGGGAGGGCCTGGGAAGCAAAAAGTGCAGGGTCCTCCGCCCTTTGGCCTCCAAGTCGCCTAAAACGCTGGCCAATTTATGCACTGACAAACATAAAGAACCACAACCCCATATGAACAATCAATGTTAATATAATTGTATGATACACATTTATTTGTTTATGTGCAATGAACATAGTATGAAATATATTAGCACATACTCATATATATATATATATGTACATGCATATTCCCCCCTCCAGTTTCTCGTGCAAGCTCGGCAATGCGGCGCTGGAAAGCTAAGGTTTGGCGATTGCAAGAAGCTGCCGGAATTCCACAAGATGCCTTTCAGCAGCAGAGATGCACCGGGCAGGGCGTCCGTGCAGATCGCAAGGGTTCGTGCATATCCCACAAGGTTATTCGGCCTCTGCTTCTTCCACGGACTCATTCTGGAAAGACGCGGCTTTGGGCCTGCAGGGTCCCGAGTGACCTTCCCACAATTGTTTCTTTGCGGCTCGAGTGCTTCTGAAGTGAGGTTGGCTGGAACGTTGCTTACGGTTTCTCAGAGCCCGACCGAGAAATCTCGCGGCAGCAGCTTCGAAATTTCTTGAACGAGTTCGAGGGAGTATCTCGGCATGCGAAGCTGTTTCGCTTTCTAAAGCAAGAAGTCCGTACTCCAAGGGTTCAATCTTCTTGTGTACCAGTGTACCTTGATGTGCACTTCCTCGGCCTTATCACTATGCTTGGTGTCCGGACGGGTACTTCATCTTCAACACTTCATCTACGACACCTTACTGTTTTGTCGGAAAGCATCTTTCTATGGAACGCTGTCTATCAAAGGTCCGGAGCTTCACCTTGTCGACACAGTTAGAACCTTGAGCTTTAGGGTTTCGGATTTCACCTCTTACCTTTTGCAGGATACTAGGAAGAAGAGTGTACGTGGTAGAGGCATGCAGTCAGGGGAGTGAATGCACGGACGAGGGTCATCGAACTTCTTGAGGCAATTGTACAGCCAGTATTGGTTGCGTCTGGCCGAGTGATGCTGCGCACTTCCGCGGTGAGGTGCCATATGCTGCCCTGAACTACATGGGCTCAGAGGCCAACTATGGTGGCCGTGTGACAGACAACCAGGAGACATGCACTGCCGATCAAAGACCTAGATCGGTAATGATTGCTACTCGTACAGTAGACCCTTCCATCCTTCCGGATGGTCAGGACAGGCGACTTATCATCACCATCCTCCAGGCCCATGCATTCAACTCGCCTCAGGGCACATAAACGCAGTCATTGCTCGTCGAGGATTTCTACAACCCGAAGATCTTGGACGATGATTACAAGTTCTCCATTTCTGGTTCCTTGCAGAAACATGACCTGGCCGATGTCTACAGGGCAGCATTTATCGGACTGAGGCATCTACTACGCGCCAAAGCACGCAGACACCTTGAGCGCCTACCTGGAGTTCATTAGGCACCATCTTGTTATAGAGTAGAGACATCCCAGTACATACCGCAAGCATGGCGTCTGCCAGGTCGCTTCCAATCAGCACGACCCCAGAAGTCTTCTGGCTGCACAACAACGCCAGCTTGACAGCAGTCGGTATCTCAGCTACCGGATCTTGCGGCAGTGCTGCGCACCGCCCACCCAACCTTAGCCCGAAGGCCATCAACGAAGGGCTTTACGTCACAAAGGGCTGTTTGGCGCTAATGAGCTCGTTCGGCCGGCGGCTGAGAGGAGGCGACACAGGGGTCAGAGCTACCAAAAGAAGCTTTCCGAGGTGCAAGCTCTTCGGCTGATGACGACGAAGAGGGGACCAAGGTGAAAACTCCGGAGGCCCCTTCTGCTGTCCGAGTTTCATACTGTCCCTCCAGCTCCACCAAAAAGAAGTAAGTCAGGAAAAGTATTCAGAGATTGCGGGCGACATTCACACGCGTGTTCCAGCCTCTTGGCCGAGCTAGACCAATTAATCCGAGAAAATCAACAGACCCCCGGCTTCGAAAAACGTCAAGGAGCCATTCGACCTGGGACATGCTCTTCGAACGTACCCCGTGCGCTACGACGAGTGCTTGAACACAGTCCTGCACATGGAGCTCGGCAAGTTCAACAGGACAGATCTCAGCAATGCACCCAAGATTCAGGCACAGCTGTGCTTTTTGCGTGGTTCTTTCCTGCAGGCTGCTGAACCGAATCAAGGGCACATGCAGCAACTTGATCAAGGCAGGTTTGTGAAGCTGCACTGCGACTATGCGGTCTCTGAACTTAAGCGGCAGTGTTGCTATTCCTGACACCAGTAAGACGCAACACAGTTTTCTCTTGTGAGGTCATCAAACCTTGATTATTGATGCATGGTGCCACGGTTTTGTCACAGGCCAGGAAGGCCACATTCTCGAATGCACACATAGCACATGATTCGGGCATCACAATTCAGCACATACGATACTGCTTCTACCCTTGCGCTTCTTGCCTGGCAACGAGCTTGCATATCGCGCGCTTTCCGTTTCTCTTTTGCTGTGTGCCCTGCTATGAACTCAAGTCTTGATGTTTTCCATGCCATGGACAGACATGCCACTGTCCGAAACATTCCCCGCCAATCCTTGCCGACAAGATCGCTTGAGGGCTCAGGCATGCGTGGGCGGATGTGTGTGTGTGTGTGTCCCTCTATGTATGTGTTTACATACGTATGCGATGTATGCAGGTGTATGTATGTACAAACAAAACGTATGTACACCGAGGTTGTTGTGAGCGATTAGCTTCATGCCCGTGTTCGGTGGTTATTTCTTGCCCCCTTCACCGGGTTCAGCTTGTTCCTGCTGCCAGGCAGTCAAAGGTTTGGTGGTCTTCTCACCAGAGCTGGAAGCCGTGGCCGATGGATGTCTCCTGGTTATTATTCATAGCAGACGTAAAAACGCAGAAGACTGAGAGCAAGCTTGTGTTGACGTGCGATGGATGCGTTGCTTTCGTGAGGCTTGACGAACGCAATTCCCTCCCCATGGATGGGAGTGTCCTACCCCTCACTGAAGCCGCGCCGAACCCAGTTTTCCCAGGTTGCATTGGCATTGCTACGAGTCAGCAGACAGATCTCTCATTGGATTGCTGTTTGCCGTGAGGCTGCAGTCCTATGTCGATGCACCTCGGCAGCGGCAGAGACGACCATAAGTCGCAAATTTGCATGTTTCACCAAGTGGCTCCCTGCCAGGATTTCCTTGGTCGACTCAAGTTCATGTCGAACTGGATCAAGGAGCCTGGCATTCTGCATCTGTGAAGGGGGAATGATCAAGCACACCGAGACATAGCACAGGACGGCATTCCCTACATGTTCTGGTTCTCGGCCTACTTCTTCCAGCAGGCCGTGGGTTGTCAGTTCACTTCCTCGCTTGCTGATCTCAGTGCCGTGTGGTCAGGCTTTCTTGACGGGCGTGCTGCAAAACTTTGCGCGAACTGACTCTGGTTCGCACGAGTGTGGCAACCCATGGCGACATATGATGTGACACTTTACAATTTTCCAATCTTCGTAAAAGCTCCACTTGTTTCTGCAGCAGCGACCGCCAGCAACATGAGGACAAGATTGCGATCGATCGCTGCATCTGGAATTTCGAGGTCCTCCTGGGGAAGCTTCGGAACTTGCTGCAAATTGCACTCCCACCCTGTCTTCCTGCAGGTCCTGAAGGCCGCCTTCAAGCCTGAGGAGTATCCCAAGAAGGCGGGACGAAAAAACCTTGGCACTTCTCCTCAGATCCAGATCTTTGTGCCCGACATGAACCGGCATCTTAGATAGTGTGTGACACCCCATGGCAAAACCCACGCGCAAGCGCGCGCACGCACGGACGGGCGGGAGGACGGACGGACATACATTTGAAGAGACATGTAGTCATACATGCACATTGCTGCTGTGGCTTGGCTTCATTCTGAGGTCGAGGAGTCTGTCCTGTTGGGGTATCTTGCTTCTTTGTTTTTTCTCATCTTTCCTCTCGATGTGTCTCGCCGTGTCTGCCTGTCTGTCTGAATTTTCGAACGGTCCTGTTTTCACCTTCAAACTCGAGGGTGCCTACATCAACGGCCTCTTCATGAGCGGCGCCCGATGGGATGACGACGCTATGTGCGTAGAGGATTCCTTCCCGAAGGCATCGGACTGCATTGCTTGTCCGTGGAAGCTCGTGCTCAAAAAACTATCTGACTATGTGTGATTTTTGCGAACAGGTTCTGTGGGCGGAGATGTCACCGATCTGGTTGAAGCCAGTGCGACACAAAGACTTCTTGGGTCATTGACCTGTGAGCGGACAAGTTGTTCCGTGCCAGCGAGTGGCGATGCTTCGCCATCAGGTCGAAAAAGCGCAGGATGAGCATGACTACGACAAGCTTTACAATGCCCCTTGCATGCAGCACCGGGCTGGTGAGCCTGTTTGGATAATATACTACAGATGTTCTGCACCCGGATTCCACGACAGGCACCTATCTACAAGACGTCCGAGCGTAAGGGCGTGCTGTCCACTAGTGGGACACTGAGCCAGAGTCAATGAGCTTGCAGCATGCATGTCTTCTCTGCGTAACAATGTGAGAGCAAAAGCGATGTATCGTCGTCAGGTGGTCACTCCTCCAATTTCATCATGTACCTGGCCATCCCACATTCATGCAACGGAACGCACAGCACCTTTGCTTGAGAAGTGTTGCAGGTGGTGCCCTCTCGTTTTCTCTTCAGTTTCCCTTGATACAAAAGGTGAAGAGTTCTGGACGAAGCGCGGAGTTGCCCTCATCTCCCAGACGGACGACTAAGTTAGCAACTTGCCTTGGCCGTCCTAAAGCTCCAAAATCCTGCAATGATTCGCTTGATTTGGCTATTGGGGCTCGAACTTCAAGAAGAAAACTGCAAGTCTGGACAAGGCGAGTAGATCGAAGGAGGCATGGCTGAGATGTGAGACGCTGTTTAACAGACGTCAACACACGCCAGCCGTGGCTCTGTTTTCCAAGCTTCCGGGCACTGCTGGCAACCATGCGTGTCCGGGTTTTCTACCAGCTTACCTGAGCTTGTCGTGAACATGCTGACGTCGCTAGGCAAACGTCTAGTCCAAAAAGCCCGATCGCGGCAGGAAGCCAAGAAGCAACCATGTAACCAAGCAACCCGATTTCCTCCAGCTCAACAAGCTGGCAAAGTGCTGAGCGCCTTCGCAATCGTGCTCAAGATGCACCTTGCATGGAGGTTCGAATCGAGAGACTGTGCATGTGGTGTCACGCGAAAGAGCTTTGCTTGGCTTTTGTCTTTGTCGGCTTGCAAGCTTAGCAGGAGTGCTTTTTGGGAGAGAGCTACGAAGAAACTCGAGGCCAGAGCGAGTTTTCCTGGTGCCCTTCCCCAGGACAGCTGCGCCTGCGACTGTCATCCGTCGCTGTTTGCGTTGCGAAGCCACTGCCACGGGAAGGATGGATACCAATCCACTTCGCGGACTCGATTTGCGAAGACTCGAGGCGGTTTTATATTAGAGTATACTATAACTATAGCAGCATTATAACAGTACTATATTATAGCAATATGATACGGATATATTATAGTATATTATAGTATTAGAATCATTCAGGCTTTCCTGAGATCAGTCTGCCGGAAGTGCGGAAGGTGGCCGAAGGCTTCGGCCTGCTGTGCCGCTGCATTGTAGGGTCGCTGATGACCTCGCGGAGGATCAGGCAGCTGGGGGCGGTTTAGGGTTTAGGGTTTAGGGGGGGCGTGAAAGCTGCCATGGCTTATGAGCAGCTCCTGACCCTTTGACAAAGTCTAAGTGAGGCAAAACACGAGATTCATGGCCGTGTTCTCAAAGCCTCCGGAGATGCCGGCGGAAGCCGAGGAGGCCGCAGACAGCATCGGGATCAATGCAAATGTAGACCTGCACTTTTCTGTCTGGTGCTTCGTAGGGAATGGGGGAATGGGTTATAGGGACTACTATAAGGGACCTTAAGGGACTATCATAGGGATCCATTCCCCCATTCCCTACTAAGCACCAGACAGTTTTCGAAAGGTGAAAGAGGCCTGGAGGCAAAGTTTGCAAGGGAAGCGCCTTCCCGGCGTGCCAGATCCCCGGGTGCGATTCTGTACACGCTGGCGTTCTTGTTCCGTGTCTGATGCAGGCCAGCACACCTCAAGCTGAATGTTCTCGGTAATGAGGCGATGTACAATTCTTTGTTCAGCTGTTCAGCTCGTTTTCAGCCATCTTGGAGTCGGGGCAGGTCCGAATGATGTATGCAGAGGAGGTGTGGGTTGCGGCTACATTTCGCAAGGCATGCCAGCGCTTCAGGCCCTGCATGAGGGCAGTGCCTTGTTTACTGGACCCTTCGCCGGTATTGGTTTTACAAGCTACGGGTAGCAACGGCTTTGCACACTTGTTGTGTCGCTGCGGCTTTACACTCCAAACTAATAAATGCTGGAATCTATGGGGCTTGAAGTAAGTATCAGTGATCCTGCAGCAGGGTTGCTGTCGAGCCTGCGAGTATGAGGTCATGTTGTACGGGTCCTGTTTGCATGGCTTGTTACGTCATGCTGGACCAGACATTGAGGGCTCAGCCTAATTCGTACATTAAGCGTCAAAGACTCCGTAACTAGCTCTCTGGACCAGCCTGTTATCTGACGCAGGAGGATTCGCAAGGAGGCACAACATATTGGATATGTGGGCAAGTGCAAACATAAAGCGTCAGATTCTCTCAACTTGTGCCGTTTCCCACTCATGCCAGTGACGCGGCCTTGGGCAGCACCTGGGCGAATAGCGCCCGGACAGCTGGATGGAGGTGTGGACAGAGCTGAGACAGGGTATCGGAGAGCTCTGCAACTCGAGACTGCAAGCTTGCGAGTCCTTCTGGCACGAGCTTGAGGAGACCGGAATCGCAGCAATTGGGCATGTAGTTCGTTAAACTCCATGGTGAGGAGCTAAAGAGCAATGAAAGCCAGGGGGGAGAGGCCAGGGGCTTCAAATGCAGAGCACCATTACTGTATCGTATATATCAAACTTATATGAAAGTATATTATAGTAGTGATATTTTAGTGTACCTGATCCCTTGCTTCTTCGAAGAGCCGGGCCCCGGAATGCCCGGGCTTCAGGTGGTCATGCTGTTCCACGACGCTGAGGGGCAGCAACCCGTCTGCAACCTATACGTTCTATTTCCAGTCCATTCCCTTCTACGCTAATACCCTTTCTTAATTCTACCTAGATTGAGCTACATTCTATTCCAGCATCTTTTGTTCTACTTATAAAACTCCCTACGTGTTCCATGCTCCCCACACACGGACACGAACTGTGCATCCTTCCGAGGCCAGCAGAGGAGGTCCTGGAGGCCGGCAGGAGCTACACAGCACACTCCTCCGCCTCTCATAATTACTATAACCTACTCTAGTATAATACCAGTAATATATCTATAGTAGAATATAAGTACATAATTACTATAACCTACTCTGATATAACAATATATCTATAGTGGAAGATAATGTACTATACTATACTATACTATAGTAGAGCTTCGTCTTGCAGTGCAACAGTTTTGGCGGAAGCGCATGGGCTTTTCCGACCAGGCTGTCTTCTCTGTCCCTGTGCTTTTCAATGATGGGCCCAGTGGCATGCACATCCGCAATGATACAAGCACTTCCGGATTTCCGGCAGCCCCCAGCCACGGCACAAGCTCTGAAGCACCAAGTTCGACGACCGGACATCTGATGTTGTTTGTACTTTCAACTGTGTTAGGCTCTGAAGTCGTGCAATTTGTCGCGGTTGGTCATCCTTCCACATACTGAAGAGCCGAGCCCTTGGCATGCATGGTACAGCTGTTTGTGAAAGTAGCGTCCTTCCCTAGAGGATTGCTCGGGATCCATGTTCTGGTAGACTATCGTGAAACCTTTGACCATCTTTGACCTAAGATAAGAGGAGACCCTGAATGACAGCAAGAGTCACATGATTCCATTTCGAGACCACTGAGGATGAACGCAGACCAGCGGGCCAATCTCTGCAAACAGTTTCAGTTGCGCGCAGACCTCAGTCAGCGGCACTCCTTCGAAACATCCTTGCCTTGAGCCGCAGAGCAAGCAATGCTGGAACCTGAAACGTAAAGCGCAAGACCCTGATGCCACAAGCCCCCTCACATCCTCAGGAGCCAAAAGCCCTGAAAGCCCCCTAAACCCTAAACCCTAAACTTATCCTCAAAGCCATACAGACCCGATAGAAGCCCCAAGTCTGTCTCAGGCCGAGTAAGGCTTGGCTCGGTCCTGACCTTACTTCCGACTTTGAAGCGGACTGCTACCGGGGAGTGGGCTGGGATCCAGAGATCCAGAGGCCCTTTTAACTTCAGGAGTTGGGGATTTAAGAGCTTTGGGTCTTGCGTCCTCGGTCTCACGAAATGCCCATGAGCATGCCTATCATTTCGAACACCCCTACTGACATGATGCATGCACCTGAAGGGCCGCACGCCCGCCGTGCGGGGGATTGGGGGGGATTCACCGCTTTTCACCAAGGAACAGCTGGCCCCTCCTCAAAGAATTGTGGTGCTGCGGGGAGCTTGGTCTTTGCACCTCGGTTTCAGACTCTGCCACTCGCCGTCCGAAGGAACTATCTCATCGACCGAATTTGGCCGCCGGTGAGTAGCACAGACTCGGCGGAGTCAGCACCAGATAGCCCAAAGCCGGCAGGAAAAAGAAGCAAGACATGAGTGAAAGACGATGCTGTATCATGCTGCACTAACTTACGAGCGTGAGCGCTCGCCTAGTGCAGGAGCAGCGCGAAAGGAAGGAAGAGGAGTTGAGACGATTGAGGGAGGAGGACGCGGGAGTCGGACAATTTAGCTTGTCAGTCCTTCCAAGAGGTTGAATGGCGCCGGTCTGCTGTGCAGGAGCTGATGGAGGAACGACGCGTTGCAAGAGAGCTTCGTGAAATTGAGGACCCTAAAACCCTCAACCCTGGAGGGTAGTCCAGTAGGGGGCTTCGTGTGTGGCTGCTGACACACCCGGCAGGAGCGACACAGACGGGAACAGGCCACCCAAAGAGCAGAGATACTACTGTAGGAGATGTTCCAAAGTGTGCGCTGGGAGGCTGGGTTGGCTGCCAAGTCATCAGCTGCCGCTCCAGAAGCCGCCAAGGCCAGGCTACAGCTAGCCAGTAGCCGACCTAGTTCGCACATGTTATTCGGTACTTGCAACATCGAAACTTGATTCAACAGTCAGACATTACTCCTGCTTTTTTTTACGATGCAGGCACCTGGGAGAGCACCAGTTCGGCGGCGAAGAAGCAAGGCGCCTCAAGTTGAATTGACAAATCGGACACTTTCAGACAAATTCGCCCCCCGATTCTGGTCCCCAAACAGGAGAATTCGTGTTATAGCTTAAGACGCAATAGAATGCAAGCGTTTGGCGATGACCTGGTTGTCAGGATCCGGCCGGGCAAGATTTTTCGCCATCACGCGAAGCGCTCAGCTGGAATGGTCGACGGTACAACACAGTTGTGCCGTGGCTTGAAGTGAAGCAAAGGTGGAGGTGGGACCTACGACGGCAGCACTGCAGGCAAAGGATAGTCCGGGTGCAATGCGGTGTAATCTGTGGTTTTTTCGGCATCCTCCGGCCAGGACTGCACTCCCATCTTTCCCCAGCTTTGGCTGTAGGGCTGTAGGTAATGTCCGCTGGGCAGCCTTCACGGAATGTTTCCTGCTTGCTCCTTGCCTCGCGTGCGTGTGAAGCTCTCAGGCTGACTTGGGAGTTACTTCGAGCCCTGGAGTGTTCCAGTGGCCTCAGCATCTTCAGCCGAGTGCAGGTACATGGGTAGACGGAGAGGATCGTCGGCGCAGACGCAGACGAAGAAGACGAGATGTCGACAGCACCACAGGCAAGTCTCAAAGTGCTTTGCTGTTCATGGAGCTGCGTCCGATTCGCTTGAAGTTGGATGAGGTGGTGGTCAGGATGGATCTTGGCGTGCATCCGAAAGGGACAAGAGGCCAGTAGACAAGCGACAGGATGGGAAGCCCTCAAGTGGCGAAAGCAGAAGCGCTGGAGGACCTGGGATGAGAATTACTCCAGCCTCAGCTTGCTGCCAGAGCCGAGCTCAGCATCCAGAGTTGAGTGTCTTCGCCAATTCTTCGGTCTTTGATCCTCGCATGCTGCTTTTATGCGGAGAAAACTTGAGGATGGAAGGGACACCTCTTCACCTGTTCCTTGGTTAACAGCAAGCCCTCAGGCTTGGCCCGGTCCGTTTGCCTCCGAAGTGGTGTGGGATACTGTTGTGGAGGACAACGAAGGTCCGGATGGGCTGAGCACAGTCTTGGAACGAGACTTAATTTCCCCAAGTGCCTCGAAAGACAGACAGCTCAGATCCTGCGGCTACCCATGACGCCTAGGAGACTGGAGAAATGAAACGAACAGAGGCGGGCTTGGCAGCGACCGTATGCTTGGAAACACGGGAGATGCCGTGAAGGCGCGCCCAGCTCGTGGACGGCGACGGCGAGCCGCACCCCGAGCTGATTTCGCTCTGTGGCTAGTTGGCGAAAACCGGCTATTCAGACTCGAGGAGCGCCGAGACTTTCGAGAACGTGGCGACAGCTACGACGAAAACGATACCTGGGTCTTGCCAGCTCTGTTGCAAGATGGCTTACTGTAGGCCCTCACAAGAAGCTGTTCATGCTTCCAGTTTGATAGTGTGCATTGCTACTTCGCCAGGAAAGCGCAGCGAACCGCAAAAGTCAGGAGACTGCACTGTATTGTAGAACTCGTTTGCTGATGAGTGTGCAGACCTGACGATTGGCAGGATGACATGCATCCGCAACGTGTGCCGGTGGCAGCTGATGGAGCGAACTGGACGAGGCGATACCTGCGAACTCAGACTTTCGTTGGCCTGGTAGAGATCCCCGCGGCAAGCTGAGAGACAAGATCCATGGCATCACAGGTTCATACGCGGTCTTGCATCCGGCACTTTCCAGTTCTGTCATGCACTCCGCTGGTAATCCTCACTGCTGCAGCGAGGTTTGCCTACACATCACACTTTCACCACAATGCGAAGCTAGCATCTCGCAAGATGCAGTGATATGCGGACAGACAGCAGAGAATTGTGCAATCGACTCTGGGTTCCGCGCTTCACCTTGCACACAACTTGTGTCCAGGGACCAGGATGACGAACAACGTCGTCGACGAGGCAGAACTTCGTCTTCAGTCCGGTGGCGGTGAGACCTTTCAATGATCCTTGCACATGCCACGGTCCGAAATTCGGAGCCCATGAACCGGAGACGAACTTGGGCTACATGCAATCGGTGGTACCAGTTTGGTACAGCGGTCTCTGAGGCGATCACGTGTGTTTGTGGATGTTTGTGGTTCATCCCTTGCACGTCAAAACCCATATCATCGAGTGGAAATTGCAAGTCAATGTCAACCACTAGCAAGGCTTCAACCCCGAATCAGTAAGAGAATTGCCCGCCCCAGCAAAACAAACACAGTTTTATGCACATGGGACCAACAGAACCGCAGCTTCAGAAGGCTTACCAGCCGCTCATTCACCCAATCTGCCTTCTGGGTATACCAAGCCTTCAGCACTTCATCCAGGTCGCCCCCAGCCTCCATTGGCACCTCGCCGGGAGATGGGAACTCTAGAAGAGGCTTGATGCTTGAGAAACTCTGGCAAGGAGGCAGCGCGTGTTCTTGCTTGTTTCCAAGGTTCCCGCCCTTCCGATACCGGCCGAAAAAGACAGGCAACAGCGCATCATGAGATTCAAGCACCTTCCATAAGCCTTCAAGTATCTTCAGCCTTCAGCAGGTCTCCGCAGCGGCCTACACAAATGATGCATGGGCCTCAACACCACCAGAAACCCAGCTGGCATGAGGAACACAAGCTTGGGGTATTTTGGGGTGTAGGGTTCAGGGAAGTTCAGGGAGCACAGGAATAAGAACTCGAAGCCAAACCCTTTCCACACACGCGAACCACACCTCCGCGCCAAGGTCCGAAGCAGAGCTGCGCCAGATCCGCTCCCTTGTTCGCGCCTGGTTCCACAGCATCCGGTGCGAGTGCGCAAGGGCTGACGGCTCCGACTGCTCCACGGACTCGGAGGTTTGCGAACAGCTTCTTCGGGAAAGAGCCGAAGAGAAGGAGAGGGAGCCCCGTGCTCAGACTGCGTGATGCTTGGAGGGAGCCCCCACGGCTGCCCCCTGGTGCCCAGGGCGGAGCGGGCTCGCCTCAAAGGATCACCCAAGCATTCTCTGTCGCCGGCTGCTCGCAAGACGGACAGGCAAGAACCGGGGCATTCTGGGGTATTCTGGCCAGGGTCGTCGTCGTCACGTTTGCGGCTGAACGATGTCAGAGTTTCCTGCGCGAAGGCTTAGCATCGACATGTTCGGTGCGCATGGCATCCCACGCGCGCGCACCGGAAGAGACAGAGAGACAGGCACATCGAGAGGGAGAGTGGAACACAAACAAAGATGAATGTAAAAAGAGAGCGGGAGAGACACAAGCACACCTTGCGTTGTCTATTTCGCTTGTTTCTTTGCTCCTCCCTGCTCTCTGTCTCTCTGTACTCTCTGTACTCTCTATTCATACTCGGCCGGCGCGAACAGCGGAAGCCAGGCTGTCTCCCTCACGGCATGGCGCCAGCAAGCAGGAAGTGAGTGAGGCGCGTAGAGTGAAGACATAGGCTGCTGACTGCACAGAGACCGTTTAGGCCGTAGACTTAGCTTCCAGTCTCCCAGACACCATGACTGTTGAATGCTACACCTTCTTCCCCTCTCAGTTCGCTGGGGTCACATCTGCTCTGGCCGCAGCATTGCTCTGCTCAAGACGTTTTGCTGTTTAGAATTACTGCGAAGCGTGATGGATAAAGGCAGGGCATCTCGCAGTATGTTGCTGTACTTGTAGGGAAACCCTAAACCCTAAACCCTAAACCGACATTTGAGCCACGATGAGGCTATGACGTCTACGAGTACAGCCGCAAAGGTGACCTGGAGAGCCTGCGTGAGGCACAGCACATCTGTTTCGTTTCCAAATGTGGGTAGTTCCCTAAATTAGGATCCCTTTTAGGATCTCTTTTGTGAAGTTTCCCTACTATTATGGGGACCTAAAAGGGACCCTAATTTAGGAACTGGCCATGTCGTAGCCACTTCGGCACATCGTCTCTGCAAGGCTCTAGATTCTGGCATGAAGCCCGACGACTACATGGCTTATGATGGCTCCACAGCCTTAGTAATGGCCGCAGTTGCCCCAGCAACAGCAGCAGCAGCCTTTCGTGTGTGTGTGTGTGTACATGGACTGCGGCTCTGTGTGGGCGCATGTTCAAGAAACCAGGCCAGGAGTGGCCACGGGCACATAGTCAAGGAGCTGCTCGCACGAGGTGGTAATCCACAGGCTGGTCGTGTCGCTTCTGATCGCTTCACTAAGCCCTCAACCCTCAGCCGTGAATGCTGCATGCGAGGTGCGAACGGAAGACGGTTCAACCCTGCTCCACCATGCTGCTAGTGGGAACAGTGCAGAGGCCGAGCCGTAATCAGAATATTGTTATGAAGATTGTGACAACAATCATCATCGTAATATTAGAAATAAAGATACTAGTAGTGTTAACACCAACAGACTAACACTACTACTATTACTACTACTACCACCACCACCACCACCACCAACACCACCACCACCGCCACCCCCCCACCACCACCACCACCACCACCACCACCTCCACCACCACCACCACGACGACGACGACGACTACTACTACTAATACTACTAATACTAGTACTAATACTAGTTCTAGTTCTACTCCTACTACGACTGCGACTACGACTACGACTACCACTTCTACTTATTGTGTCGATCATCGTAACGTTAATGCTCAGACTAAGATCAGCACGTGAGTTTGAGAAACACAACAAGCCAGGCCGTCGATCTCTTGATCAAGTCCCGGATAGCAGAACCCTTAGCGTTGCCACAGTTCCCATATCTTTCTTCGCCTCTGCCAATGCACGAGCCTCAGGATGCCAACACTGTCAACGAAGACGGAGTGAGCCCGATCATTCTGGCAGCTCACTACGGCAACCTATCCTGTGTGAGAGCCCTCTGTGTCGGCGGGGCCGACGTGAATTTGTCAGCAGAGGCCAGGCAACACTATTAGTAGCCATGAAACAGCACTAAGTCTATTTACAGCGTTGAGAAGCATAATCATCATCATGATCATTTTACTGGCGGAAACAGGATTGGGAGCAATAGCGCTTGACTGTACTGACAAGCAAAGAGTTACAGCCAGCAGCGACAGTAATACGAACACGAATCATGGCGAACTCATTTACTCATGACCACTGGTGAATGAATGCACGACCCAGCAAACAAGAGTACTAATATTAACGACAACAGTTCTTATGATAACTACTATTATGATTGCTACCATTGTTATCAGTATTTCATCCTCAGAAACCAAACTTAGACGATTTGCCTCTTCCTCTTGGAGAGCAGGGCTGGGGAACGCCTCTGGACGGTGCCGAAGGGGAAGTCGCCGAGTTCCTGGAGAGCAAAGGGGCCAAGCGTTCTGCTGGAGGCGCGAGGACTTCGTGCTATCATTCACGAGCGGTTGAACAGGGATGAATGATCGTCAGCAACTGTAGCAGCTGTAGCACTATGACGGTTATGATTACTACCACTAGCATAGTCAGTATTGTTATAACTTATAATAAGAATGAAAAGGGCAAGTATTAATTGTTATTGTTGATAATGTTCGCGGGTGTTTGCCAGTCCCTGAAGTCCTAAGAATTCTTCGAAAGACTCGTCGCCGTCGTCGTCGTTGTCGTTGTCACCGACGACCAGGAGGACGACGAGGACAGACGACGAAGACGTCTGCTCCATTCGAGCCATGAGGGTGTCGTATCTTGAGGGTGGCCCGAAATGTATGTTTACGGCCCCTTGTTTCTGAAACTCGCATCTCTGCTGCGGTGCTAAGACAACGTGGCAGGTGCAGACCAACCACTGGCTGCAGCGCATGAGCGCTTTTCCTACGGCAGCTTGTCATGATGACAAGGATAACAACAATGATAACCATCAGCAGCAGCAGCATCAATGATCTTAAAAAATTAGGCAACCTTGCCTAATGTTGGATAGCAAGCCTAAGCCCTCTGATCAATTCTTCAGGTTCATTCTTAGTTTAATGAATACTAAACTGTGAGTGAACCCATGATTCATGATAGATGTGATCTTTGGTGCCGGTGCGGATAAAGATGTTGAGGCTCATGTTGATAACAAAGAAAGACCCAGAACAAACAAGTAAAAATGCTGTCCGCCACGGCCTGCATCATGACTGGATGAAAGCAGAGCCTCGCTAGAGTGCCAAGGCTGCTTCGAGACAGGCGAAAACCCTCACTCTACTCCCGTGCTTGCACCCGGAAGCAGCGCCTGGGCTGTTTGTTTGAGGGTTCAGCTTTCAGTGCGGTATGGCCTAGACCAGCACTTTGTGTTCACGAGGTGGCGATGCCAAGGACAGGAAGCCCCAGGCCGATTGCAAGGATGTTCACGAGAATCTCAGTTTGCTGCTCTGCTTCGCCAGGTGGGCGATTCCGTTCGCCTTCGGTTTGCAAAGCCGTCCGGGCTGTTGAAGGAAGGAGACGTCGGGGTTGTCGCTCTCCTCTCAGACACAGAACGGGCAGCGACACCAGCAATTTGCTTCCAAGCTCGGCAGCTCAGGTGGCGGACGATGGCTCCGACTGCGTCCCGCTGAAGGTCACTTTGGGCGAGCGCTACGACTACTACGACGCATGTAGATATTGGTTACAACGCTCGGATCATCACTTCAGCATGCATTGCACCCAGTAGTAAATGTAGTGAAATGGGGCGACTCCATCTTAGGAATACAGCGATGTTATGGTCTGTGAGCCAGCGGAAGAGCTTCCGCCAGATTCAGCTCATGCGACCACAGATGGCACCAAGAGATTCCTAGCGGCCGGGCTGCGTTCAATCGGCACCTGGTCTTGTCCGCTCTTCTTCTTGTTGACCTGCAGAAATGGCTTGCCAGCGACTCTGAGCGAATCCCAGGTGAGGAAGAAGCTTGTAACGTGTCCTGCTTGCAATGACTTTTATTACAAGAAGTTGGTCAGCTCCTTTGTGCGAACAGCCCCGAGGGGGAGTATGCGAGAGCTGGGGCGCACCGGCCTCTGCATTTCGCCGGTTGGCTTCGGCTGCCACCGTCTTGAGGACCAACGTTTAGCGTGAATCGAATGCGAGAGGCTGAACAGGGATTCTGGAAGCACCCCTGTCTTGCGAGGATGCTGATGCCCACAAGGCAGCTTTAGAGCTAGCTATCTCGCTGGGATGCAACTTCGCCACTTGGGTCTTCATAGCGATTTTCCGCTTGTCGATAGTGTGGCCTTGGCCCCAAAGCCGTCCAGCTTGAGGTTGACTTGGCTCCCAACTACGTTGATGGGGTCTCCGAAGAGGCCTGCCTACTTTCACCTCATCTGCTGAGCTCACTCCAGCACCACGCGACCGTGACCGTGAGGTTGCAGGCGAGGTCTTGCAGAAGATGCTGCAGAACCGGAAGGACCTGCTCGTGAGTTTGATCCAGCTGCTTCCTATTGGCAACAGTGGTGTAAAGGTGCGGCGTGATGAGATCGTTGTTGCAACGAAGGCCGCTTGTCAGTGGCACGTGGGAGAGAAGACGAAAGAATGATTGACTTAGACCGATGAAGTGTGACCGCCACACCGATAGCGGAAATGCAGGCCCTCCAGTTGCAGAGGTTCTTGCAAGCGAAGTGCGCTGGCATAGAAGTTGCCTCTCAAGCAAATTGTTTTGACTCAGTTTCAAAACTCGTAGAACGGAACTTCCCCAGATAATCAGAGCCCCGGGTCTTAGACTGGGCCTCTGCCTCCCTCCCGAAGGCAAATCAGAGTTGTGGACAGGTCGGCAACGTGCTTGGTAAACAGATGGCCTTCGTCAAAGACGTCCCAAACATGTCCAAGATCAATGACAGCTTCTGTGCTCATATCATACTCATTGAAGCTGCTGCGTACTTGCCGCACGAGCACGTGATCTGAGGTCTGTTTCACTGCATTTCTCCAGCCTGGATAGAACAGGTTCGCACCTCGAGAGAAGAATGTTTTGCTCTGAGTGCCATGGAGCGTCGCATGCAAGGAGCTGACCCGGAGCTTGAGCAGACTTGGGCCTCGTGGCAAGCATAGGGCCCCTGCTGACTATGACCACGGAGCAGTTTGCTTGAGGCTCAGCTGCATCGATTGCTTGCTGCTGCACTGCCCGGAGTACGAGACGAAAGCTCCTGGGGTCAGCATGGCAGAAGTCTACAACCGGATACGCTGCATGGCTGCACTTCGAACGCTGCGATGTCACTTCTCAAAGGCCTGTCTGCAGTTGTGCACAAAGGCAGTGCTTTTGAGCACCTCGAAACAGAAGTGACGCGTGGCCGCATTGCCGCCTGGAAGCAGCCATTTAGTAGGCCTGGTGTGCATACTTGAGTAGGAATCTGCAGATCAGACTTGCCCGGGCAGAACACAGTCCACTCCCGCAGTCACTTTTGTTCAAGAGCCGATATGGCCCGCCGGTAGGCCAAGCGCCCGTCGGGATGTTAAAAGAGAAAGGCCAGAAGCTTAAGACCTCGCTGCTTTCGAAGTTACCTCAAAAAAGGAAGAATTCGGCCGGAGCGAGTACTTCTGAGAGCTCCGGAAAGGTGAGTCGGTCCCCGGTTGATGCACAGACGCCCGAGAATGTGCGGAATGCGCTTCCTTCGGAAGCTTCCGCCGAAGAGTCGCCCATCCCCCCAGCGCTCCAGACTGCAATGAGCTGCACTGAAGACAAAGATGAAAGTGCTGGGGCACAGAAAGGAGCACCTGCTAAAATTGATCCAGCTCTGTCCGCAGCAGTTCTTATCTTCGCCGTACTGGCACTTTGGAGACCTGCAGTTTGGATGTTCCTCATCTCAATCGCAGGCAACCTTTTGCTTGGCAGCGCGCTGGTGCTACAAGCGTCGTACGCACAGCGTCAGCGCAACTTGCTCAGCAAGTACTTTGAGCGAAGCTCAGAGGCCTCTGAAACCATTGAAGTCGAGGCAGACGTTAGCTCTACCTGTGGCCTGCAGCAGTTGCTGGAGCCTGGTTGGAAGCACATGCGGGAGGTTATTCGTGAACGTGAGCTTACGGGCATCCTCACCCAAATTGAGCTGGGAGACAAGTCGCCCCAAGTCACTTCCGTGCGCTCAGTCAAGTCACCTCACGACGGCGTGGTCTGCTTCGACGTCGGATTGCAGCTCGCTTCTTCCAAGTGTCCTTTTGTGCGGCTGGAAGTCCCAATCCCTGGATACTCCGATCCATGGATATTCCAGATGCAACTCCTTCAGCTAGATGTGACTGTCCAACTCTACTTCTGGAGTGCTCCACCGGAAGGCCGGGGCAGTGGGCGGTCATACTCCTTGATTGAGGCAGCTTTGAGCCCAGAGCCAGAGAAACCACCGATGGTTTCTGTCGCACTGAAGGCGGTCTCAAAGTCGAAGGTGCTGGAGCAAGTTCTCTGCAAATGTGAGCATGTTGCCTCGGCGGTGATCTGCTCACACGTACTTCCTCGCTTTACAGGCTTTGAGCATCGAGTGATCCTGGAGGAGGGCCGTGCCCGAAAAACTTCGGAGAGCACGGCTTGGCAGCAAAGCGCTCGACGGGCGGGGTGGCAGCCAAGAGCCGAAGCCGTGGTTGAATCTGCCGTGAGCTTAGCCGGGAATAGCTGCTGGCGCAGAATAGCAACAGGTACTCGTAGGCAGGTGCCAAAACAGGCCTACTGTAGGCGTGCTTATGCGTGCTTGCCGGGCGTGTTGATTTCATGGGCCAGTGCTCGCAGCTTTTGCTTTGGCATGCTGAGTCTGAGGCAGTGGGCGAAATGTTCCGAGAGGCACCAGGCTTTGCCTACGAAGCGGTCACGAGCACCGCGGCCAGCGCAGCAGCTGGCGCCAGAGAGGCCCTGGAGAGCCCAGCCGAAGCAGCAAGTGCCGCTGTGGGCGCGGCGTGGTCCGCGGCCGGAGGGGCGGCGCGAATGCTCAAGTCATCCTTCGGAATGTCGGACTAGATACAACTTTACTGGTAGGGGGTGGTCTAGATCTTGCAAGAGATCCCCGTGGGCACAAGGACTTCGAGATCCCAGAAATGTTTGCTGCAAAACGAGAAGCTGGCAATCGGAGCGCTGCGAGGTTCTTTTCATCGCCCCCATTGCTGCGAAGGGCGGCCCTGGGAGAGCGTTCGGTCTGGGTGCCCTTGGTCATGTCGTGGAAGCTCGGGGCTGCGAAGGTGGCCTCTTCCGGCGTCTGCCAAGCAGACAGCCAACTACAGTAACTACAGTCGGCTTTTCGAGAGACCAGAATAAAGCAGGGCATCGAGCAGAGGTTTCAGCAGAATGCTGCCCGAAGCAAAGGCGTGAGATCTGCTTTGTGCAATCAGGCTTACTATGGCATCTCGGCAGCTTTCACACCGCTCAGACCGACCGACGCAGAGCACCTGGATTTGTCTATGGTGCCTCACTCAGTGGATTCCTCCCTGCGGCAGTACGTCTCTCTTGCGATTCTATCCAGGTGATAAAGCAGCTCCCGACCAATCACCACTTCCGGATTCTGCAGTTCCCCTTGAACTTCGCAGAGGCGTTGGTTCCGCGGTCTGTTGTGGCAGCTATTGGTCGACTTGGCTATGCATATACTGGATGCGTTTACATTTGGCTTGGTCCTGCCTTCTTTGCTTGGGGTTTGCCAGTAGAAGGTTATTTGAGGTTCGAGGTACGGCTTGATGTGCTCGTACACAGTTTGCCTTTGAACATCCGTGAGTCAACCAGTCCAACATTGGGCAGCGTGTGCACAAGAACCGGGAATTCTGTTCACATGCAGATTTGCGAGATTTGTGGCAACGTCCGTAACGACATGCAGTACACTGGATGGCCGCAGGGGAGGGAGTTGTCAATACCAAAAACTCTTGGCAGAAGCATGACAGAAGAAGGTTTGCGAAGTGTTGCCCTGTACTGCACATCATCGCACATGGCTGCACTGCGCGCTTTGCAGGCCGAGGCGATGTGGGTAGGCCGGGTCCGCCTTTCCAACAGAATCAGAGCAGAGCGAGCGATGCCAGGCCACGTGCCTCGAAATCCTGACGGATCGGCTGTAGATGCAAACACGGCTGTTCAAGCGCCGACACTCTTTGAGGCCGACACCAACAACATTTCAGCTAGACTTCACTGCAAGCGTGTAGCCGATGTAGCCAACCTGGGCCAGAAGTCTCGGGAGGCGGCAAAATCACATGGTCTAGCTACGCTGCTTTTCTGAAATCCTAGCCACTAGCCAGCTTCTCTGTACGATAGCCTTCGCTCCAAGGCTAATCAACAGGCCTCTAGACGGCATCTACAAGGCCTGACCACGTGATGATCGCGATGCGAGAGCTTGCTATACCTTGAAGTTGAGCCTTGTACAAAGGAAGCGCACGGCGTGTTGCGCTTCTCTTCACTGGACTGCGATGTCCGATCCTATTCAGAACTGCAGCTGGACAATTGCAGCTTGGCTGATGCTGAGCAGGCTGAGCCCAACTCCAGTTTGCGGTCTTGATAGTGCAGCTCCGACTGCAAGGCGATTCCCTCGAGGAGAAGATCACCAACATGTGACGCTTGGCTTCCTGAAGGCTCGTGTCTTTTCGTTCTCAGTACGCACCACACCCGCACCTCAGGCAAACTCAGCGCTCCGCCATTCAACACAGATGATGGTGCTGCAGGGCAGCTGGCAGCCAAAACTGTCAAAGTGCTGGCCAGCCTGCCAAGTGCGACTCGTCTTCAGCACGTTTTCAAAGCCGAGTGGCGAAGCGAAGGGAGCGACGGACTTGTTGCTCACAGGTTGATTGTGTGCTGCTTGGCATGCGGCAGCCTGAATACGTGGTTGGTACACTGCCACTGCTTTTCGGAACACCAGCGGTCGACCCTCAGGCACTTTTGGATTCTGATGATTTGTCTCACGCAGCAGCCTCTGTCTGCAGCAGGTTGCGTTGTCGACATTCCGCGCTGTCCACAACACTGCCTTAACCTCAGAAACTCTGCAGACTCTCCGTGACCTTTGCTGGCGTTGTGCATGTACCAAGATCTGTATGTGGTATGCCACGGCGATTCACGAATCGGACCACGGCACATCCAAGCATTGGCGACTGCCAGTGAAAGTCTCTTGGAGCAAACGGGATCCCATGGCTATCCTCCGTGAATCTCTGTCCCAAAACGAGAGCCCCCTGAACAGAAGATTCGCATCCAAGGAAGGCTATGCCCAAAACGCAAATTCAGGTGCATGATGCTTCGCCCAGCACCTCACGAACCATTTTTCAAGATTTTCGCAGCTCCTGCTGCCATTTTCCTAGAGCAGACAGCCGCTTAGCAGTTTCACCGAATGTAGAGGAGAGCCTTGCGAGATGGGCGCAGGCCCAAGTGTTGGCTCGAGCACGGAGGGAACCTGCATGGCAGGGAGTGTACAGCGCATACATGCGAGATCGGAAAAGGAGGCAAAGCCATCTTCGAAAGCTCGGCATTCTTTAGTCTGGGTTGAAGAGAGCTTTGAAGACGGTGAGAAGGAAGCTCCGCGGTTGACGGGTGGAGCTGCCTTGGCAAGTGCACGAAGTCAGGCCATCGGGCGTGATCTTTGTCCGTGACATGTGCTGCTCTGGTGCTCTCGGGGTCTTGCCGGCTGGAGGCCACGAAGAACTCGCACACTTCTGGTATTGGTGGCAGTGCCAATCCTGCGGGAGAGGGAGGCAGCACCGTGCCTTCTCCTCACTGCGTAAGGAACAACGACCAAAGGATTCAATCGGAGTTGTCCCTGGCTTCTGTCTGGCAGGGGGCACATCAGTCGGCGGGGCATCTGTGCCAGACCCAGTAGACGGGTGCACCTACGTCACGACAGCTGACAGCTTTGCATGTGGGTAGTTCTCCAAATTAGGGTCCCTTTTCAGATCCCCAAAACAGGGTGCCACCTGATAAAATGAGCTTAAAGCCCTACAGAACCCTTATAGTAACCTTATAGATACCCCTATAGATCCCTTTAAAGGACCCCAAAAAAGGGACCAGAATTTCGAGAACTACCCATGTCCAGGACATGCACAACTGGGGTGCTCGCGAAGAGCCAAAAGCTGGGCCCGGACCGAAAGGCCGGGTGGGATTTCCCTACAAAGCAGCTGGTGTATGCGACCATACTATTATTACTATTATTACAACTACCATTAATATGAGTATTATTATTGTTTTTATTACTATTGTTAGTACTACTAGTATGACTTGTAGTATTACTACCATTAGTTTTTGCTACTGCTATTGTTATTCCGATGATGGTTGCCAGCGAAGGGTTCGTTAGAACCGTTAGAGAGCCGTTGCTGCAACGGAACGGCCAGCAGTTGCATGCCTTTGCGGTTGAAGGCGATCCCGGCGAGTGGTCTTCGGATGCCCTGATGGAGCTAATGCACGGGCACTCAAGGCGGAGCTCCCACACAGTTGATTCCGACAGAACTGGCGGATGATTGTTGTAGTGTACTCGTACGCACTGTCATCACACACACACATCAACGTCGTCATCATCATCATCGTCAGTATCATTAGTGCTGTCAGCAGTCTGATTGCTGATATGACTATGCACAGTCTTATTGAGGTTGGTATTATTGTTACTTATTCTTATATTAGCAGCAATAGCAGTAGTGGGGGTAGCCGGAAGAAGAGGAGCTGTTGCTGGTGGTGGTGGTATGTGGTGGTGGTGGTGGTGGTGGTGGTGGTGGTGGTGGTGGTGGTGGTGGTGGTGGTGGTTTGGTTTGAACCGCAGCCGGGGAGTCCAGGCGTTGCGACAGGTCTGAAAGGTCAGTGGATACCACCGGCTGCTCAAAATGGCAGCACGCAGCTATTGTGCGTACCAGGGCTCGCCCCGCCACTAGTGGCGAGGAGCATAAAAGAGTGAAAAGGGTGGCTAAAACATGTAGCCTACACAATCGCAGTAGCTCATATGTGCATCAAAAAGTTGCAGCAGCTCAGCTCTGTCTAGCGAAACCCGCGCAACCGCACAGCACGACACAGCACAGCACAACCCAACCCAGCCCACAACCCTATCCTAGTCGGCAGCTCAGTTCAGTTCGGCTCAGTGCAACTCCGCTCAGCTCGCCATCACGGGGAGATTAAAGCCCAGTCCAGTCAGCGTTGCCCGATCTGAAGCAGAGAGTCTGTGCAGATATCGAGGAGTGTAGCCGATGAGGATAGTGCGATCACCTCGCGTCCACGGTGTGGTGGCATGAGTGCAAAGCGGTGAGAACTGGATGTAAGGGAGCTGCACTCTGTGCATTGTGCCCGGTCCGGAGTCCTGATCCAGAGCGTGGGCTCCGTGTTCATTCTGGACCCATAAGCATCCCCCAATCCATCGAGAGCAAGGAATGATGGTGTTCAGAAGGCCAGGTTGATTCCCAATGTCACGATGCGCCTGCAGCTGAATGTTGCGTTGTAGCGCCAGTGAAGCAAAGGTGGCATCCGGACACATGCCACGCATGATGCCAGTTAGAACCAATGTCGTCCTGGGATATGACAGTGCAGAAAGCTGGACGCCTGTGGAGTGGGCGAACGTGTAAGCGCCGGTAGAGAAGCACTTCTGCTGATGTTCACCTAGGCAAAGTTGCTGTCTGCGCTTAGCCGCGGACTTCTCCGGAAGCAGGTCCAGCAATTCAGAGATGTGCCCGAATGTAGCGGAGCCACTCTGCAGAATGAAGTGTGCCAGCTGTTCCGCACCAGAGTCCTGGGCGGTGGGCGCAGGGTGCATGTCGCCATTATAAACGTCCACGGTGAGCTGTGATGCCGTGCTGGGAACATTCCACTCCAAAAACGATGTATCGGCAGATGTAGAAGAGGACGTAGCCGCGTGCTCCTGAGTACCTACGTTGAGACCAGGTTGAGTCGAGGCCTCGGAAAGGTGGGTGAGGGAGACAGAGGAACTAGCCCCGAAGCCAATCGAAATTAAACTACGTGATGATGGTGTCTCTGGTGGCCCACGGAACCCGGGGTGTGATGGGCCCAAGATGGAGGGCAGCTCCAGCTCCCAGACCTCATCGGGTACATCAGGAGGCTTAGATGGAAACATGTGCATACGCCCCTGAAGTGAGCCAGGGCCAGGCAAGTCAACCGGAGTGCAGGTGTCACGTGCTGTACACAGCCTACATGACAGAAAAATGTAAGGCAGGCAGACAGGAGAAGGTGGAGAAGATTGAGTATTTTCCGCACACTGAATTTGCAATGGTGCGGTCCCGCGGTGGAGCCCCCAGGCCCCACGGCCACCTGACAGGCATACACTACGAGTCAGGTCAAAGAACAAAGGGCACCTGCCTAGAGAGAGTGGGGAGTGTCCCCACGCCTGCATATCAGTAAGTACACTTCAGACGAGCGGAATCTAGGGCCGTCTATAAGTGCGGAGTCCGGTGTGAGTCGCCTTGGCTCGACCCCGTCGTCACAAAGCCAGTCTACGCCTTGGGACTGATGTAGGAGTACAGTGTAATGGCCCGATTGCGTGCTTTGACCATGATGAAGGACGGCAGCTTCCACAATGTATGCGATGTTGTGTGATTCAATGCCGTCAGCATCAAAGCACGGGACATTGAGTGATCTAGGCCAGCTAACACTGGCGTGGTTTTTCCTCGCACCCTCGGGCCCGAGCGAGTACCTGGAAAGCTGCAACATCAAAATCACCGGTGGGCGCCTAAGTGCATGAACCGAGGACTGGAGATGCCAATGGTGAATCATGAACTGGGCGCTCAGCTGAACCCCTGCAGGCAGCTCGAGAGCTAGTGCCTGGCCACAGCTGGCCTCTTCGGTCTCACGTAGCCTGTGCTCCTCCAGCCTGCGCGCGCTCCAATCCCCAGCCGTCGCCTGGGGGCAAATCTTCGCAATCAGATGGTGCATGAACTCTGCACAATCGTGTTGGTCCTGAGCGCGAGCCCAGCCCGACAGCACAAATCTCCACAACAGC